ATCCCTGACGGACACCACTTGAAGTAACTAATTCCGATGACAGTTCACCATAAGTTCTAGCTTGACCTGTAGTGTTCGAGTAGAGAGCTTGTATGAGGTTAATGTACTTCTTTGGTACATCTTTTAATGACAGGTACTTCACAGAACCTCACGATCCACAGAGTCAAATGCCACCCTAATGTCCAGGAAGACAACTATTGTCTGTGTTTTAGGACCTACCTATCCCCACTGTCTTTTCCGTCTCTCGCTTTCGCTACCCACCACTGCTCACGAACATTGCGTAGGCTTTGTATCAGCCTGTGTTTAAGCTGACTCCGCTCCTCATCGTACTCAGAGCCAAACGGGATGAGTTTTTGAGCATCTATCAGTTCGGTAGATGCTAATGAGATCCATAGCTTCTCTCTAACCTTATGATTTTCCTTACTGGCAGATATCACTGATGTTTCCGCAGCTTTATGGATATCGTTTCAAGCTGTCTCGGATTGAGAATCACTTACATTGCTGTCTAACTGTTTTTCTAGTTGTTCCTGAAATATATTCCTATCTTAACTATCATTAAGTAGAACATTTAGAGGTTTCCTTGCAGCATCTTTCCTACGTCCATTAAGCCGCAAACAAATACTCGTTCGCACTAGGACATAGTCTGAATCTAAACAAGTGCTCGAGAACGAGCGGCAGTCCTCTGTCGAACTTCTCCATCGGTGGCTGATGGCAATGTTATCTAGTTGGGCCCAGCGTTGGGACGACTTTGGGGCTCGCCAGGTCAAAAGATGTTTTTCCTTATGCTTAAAGTTAGTGTTTGTTAGAAATAGGCGGTTATCTAAGCATTGTTGCAGCAGACGGTCGCCATTATCTGGTCTGTGGGTCGCAACACCATAAGGCCCACCAAGGTGTTTTTCACTTGAGCATTAAAGTCACCAGCCACTATTATTACTATTAACCTTTTAGAGGAAGTCGGAAAGATTTCTTTAAAATCCATATTTTATCTCATTCGAGATGCAGTTAGTGGGAGCGTAGGGAGATAAGACGCAGAGGCGATGACGGTTGTCCTTATCTGTCCAAGCCCTTCTGTCCCATTTAGTCGGACTGCGCATAAGCGTCTGTCTACCTGGATCCAGTCTAAGAGAGCTAGTTCTGCTCTGGGACTTAATACTATACTAACACCAGCGAGTCCATCGGAAGCAGCAACAGGGTTTACAGATACACGGAGCATAAGTGGAGACGGTTCTCTATTTGGGCAAGGTAAAGTTAGATTGATGGTTCTACTCTCATCTTGCATGCGCGTTTCAAAGACGCAGCATGCATCGATAGCGTGATATTCTCTAGTCCTACCTAAGTTAGCCTGTTTTCTTATTCGGTATAAGATTGGAACATTAAAAGCTCCAACATATAGTTTAGAGCGGGAGTTCAGAAGACCTGGAATAACCTTTCGTGGATTCGAATCTTTTGCATTAGCGACGCAGAGTGATAAAGCAATACGAGAAGGTGAGTCTTTGATATATGAGAGATTTTAGTGGGTGAAGGATGGATATGACTGTAACCGTTTTGGTCTTGTGTGCTGTTACAACTATGAGGGCTGATATCACTTTCCGGCTGCCCATACCGTTAAATGGTGTTTCCTGAAGAACCTGAATACGAAGGTAGATTATCGTTGATCTTAAAGATCTGGGAGCGTGACCGCAGAGCCCACGAGTTAACTGCTTGAGGCCGGTCCCGCACGGCCTTTTATGGGTAGTTTTTAAAGTGTTAGCTCCGCTCTTATTTAAAAGGCCTTACCTCTGGAGACGGAAATCCGTGAGGTATGACATTTTAGGGTCGACATTTTCTTATCCCTTCCTTCCTTGGAAGAAGGCAGCATCGCTGCAGATGCCGGTTGTCCGAGGGAAACACCTTGCTGCTATCACACCGCTACAGTCAGCAGCACGACTTGACCCCCATACCTTGAGTAGCTGCTTCTAATCTTATCGTTCTCCAATCGACCTGCCTGGCATGGTAGGACCTGCAGGAACGTATGTTCCAGCCAATATAGCTTGGTTGGGTCATCAGGATAGGCAAGTCTGACCACTGCGTCAAGGAAGCAGCTATGGTCGGGTATAACCATAGTTGTGGACTGGAATTCGACATGTACGCAAAATAGTCCCAGCCACATGTAGATGTATTAAGCTCTCATCGATAAATATTGCATCCTCACATAGTTATTAGTGTAATTGTGTGGGTAAGATTTCAGATACAATTGTATACTCAACTGACGAATCTGTTATAGGTTTTATGATGTACGCATTCTCTAAGTGATATATATCGTTCTAAGTTGGTTATTAACAACTGCCATGTATGTAAAATTATTTACAGTATCCAGTGGCAAAATACATATCTTAACTACAGTTTGGCAACTTACCAACATTTAAGTATTTGTATACTATTTCATCATTTGCTTACGACAAGTTAATCGAAATCTCTACATATAATACTCATTTTTCAGCCAAGATATTTTATGGGTTTTTCATAATTTCATGGTATTGTATATCTGTCATCAATTTATACCTTAGGTTTTGGGTATTCAAAATAATTTATTCAGTAGATAATTCGTCACTTTATCACGCCAATAACCTAAGTTCCTGGAGGAAGAGCAGTACTTGACCCTTGTTTAATTAATCATGGGTTAAGTAATTATCTGGATAGCTTGATGAAACTGTTTGCATGTGCACAATAGAACCTCAGAGTAAATCTGTTCTTCAGTTTTAAATTGCATTGAATTTTAGTATTTTATTATGGGGAGGTATAATTTACAGTTTTTTATTCCCGACGTTTATTCGTATCTGAATGTTATATCGTCAAGTTCAATTTTCTATACGACTAGCATCCGTCTGTGATACTTTGTACCTTTAAAATGTACTGGATGGCGTCTAGCAGCGGAACCAAAGATGCGCATTCCATCCCATTTGGAACTCGTCAGATAGATGTACCTACATCCCAGAATTGATGTTAATTCGGAGGTTCGAACGCAGTACCATTCGATTTAAACGTCATCAAATGATTCACTTAGGTATTGAGTTCATATGGCCATTGGCCTGTGTCATGGGATCAAGTTTAATTCACTTGAACTAACCTAAAAAGCAAACAACTTTTGTACGTTATGCTTCCAATTATGACATATGCGAATGGAGTTCAGTTAACATCTTATGTTTGGAAAGTTCATTCAATCTTTAGTGTTAGACTTCCGGTTCGTTAGTTTTATGTAAATGTTACGATTAGTTGTCTTAATATCAGCAATAAAGTTAAAATATAGCCCAAAAGCTTTGAAATCTCCAAAAATTCACGATACACTTCAACCATAAAACACAGTTGGTCACAATAAATATAAGCCACCTAATTAGAATCAACTTGAAATAATATACAACACGTCTGATAAAACATTTTCTAAAGTTTTATTATTAATTACTATTTCTATAAAATAATTTCAAATAACTTTACTTTGATCCCTTTTATGATTACTTCTCATTGATTTAATTAGTCATATAAAATTCAATGGCTGGTCTCAGTTAGCCCACCTCTTAGGTAAACAGTTCGTAAATAGTTTTTTTTTATTTTGATGTGTTTATAACTCACTTATCTAATCTGGATAGAGTGATGAGAAGACGAAGATTATTACAACTAAGTGATATATTAACTCATTCTGATCACACATACTTGTACCTTGTCTTATCCTGATAATTACCAGGATCTTATTGCATTTTAGTTTTTCGGTATTTTATACCTTGACATTTTATCTTTGTAATACAACAATCTTTGTACTGGGTAGTCTACTAAAAACAAATTGCCTTGTCTGTATATTCTAGTCATATATCTGAACTTCTGTCAATAGCTTAAAATATATCCTCTTACAAGTCCCTTAATTGTTTCTAATGAGAATTGTGAAACTTTTCTAGTTTTAGTTACCCTCCTGGATAAAGAGGTGGTAGATCAAATTTACCAAATGACATTGGTAATAGGACTTTTCATCCTTCCAACCACCACATTCAATGTATCAGCACTAACTCCAATTCACTTTCAGTCCCGTTTTCATAACGATTTGAATGATAATCATAACATGACTTATTACTAAACATGTTTGAAAAAAATCTATCAAAATAACATGTTTGTAAACAAACACTTATTCATATGTGGGATCATATGATTGAAATATAAACAACGTTTCAAAGAAAAACAAACTGATTTATGTACTTTATGTTGCAGTTGATTGATTAAATATTGTATTCATGATTCAAAATCATATATCATTGTTCGTAGTTAAGTTTATTGGTTACCTGTACTCATCAACTTTTAGCGTACTTTTAATCTAAAGAATAAAAGTAAATTTTGTTAACCTCTACTTAGTCACAATGTACTGAGCACTTCGAATGAATCCTTTTGTGACAAACTAATTAAGATTATGAATCATGATGTGTTGCTTTATTCATCAATGATTCAACAACCATTTGGGAGTAATGAGATAATTGTAGGTCTGAGCAAAACTTGATTTGATACTAAACACTAGACAGTTGAAATTGGTCATTCATACAAATACTCTATAGGAAAATTTTTGAAATTTATTCACTTTTATGATTGTTTGTTATTCGTAAAGTGTACGGACTATGATTATTTTTTTTGCATCGTAATATTCAAATCCTAAATGAAATTTTATCTTGACAATCTTAAATTGTCTTCGAAAATGTTCTATTGATTCTGCAAGTAATCGTTTATTTGAATGCGTAACAGTTTTTACATTAGAATCTATCTTTTATATGAATTAGGTCGGTATCAATGTATATTTTAAACGATCTTAGCTACCATATATAAAGTGTCTGTTTTGTTTAAGTAGTTAGTGACCTAAGTGTTGACGATAACTCTTAACCTTGTAGAATATTTTCACAAAAGGTCACTATGTCAAAATCAAATCACTCGTATTTATTCGCATTTAAATTTCTCTTACATTTTCATTTTGCCTTTTCTACGATAGAATCATGGATGAATCAACAATTAAAGTTGGTGGTACAGATGAATCAACCCATCAGAAAAAGTCAACTACAACTGATGAGAATTGTTTAGGTTGTCGTGTAGTCGGCTCAGTTATCCCTTTAACCCTATCTGCCTATATAATCTATGCGTGTAAAGATCAAGTCTCTAAATATGCTGGTATACGAAAAGTGTCATATTTGACATTGTGTACTAGTATGTCATTCGGTAGGTTCTGAGAATATTTAGCTTTTCAATGTTCTGCCTAGTAAATACTTAGATAAAATCAAACATCTCAAATAGTACTCAAAATAAATGTGGTACATTTTAATTCACATTAGAAACGTGATTATTTCTCGTTAACCACTTGAAAAATTTTTCATCTACGCTAAAAAATATATATTTATTAAAGGAGAAAATAATAAATTAACCGAGGAAATGAAAATCTCAGTAGCTTAAAAAAGCTATAAATGATACTTGGTAACTATCTACAAATTATTAAGATTGTCTTAAGAAATTAGCACTTGGAAAATGCATAGTTATCAGTTTTGGTCCAATTATACTATCTCATAGATCATATGAACCATTTTATGCTTGCATTTTATTAACTGTAACCTTTAAAATGCTCTTATTGAATATTTTTGTAGTTTTAAGCTTGGTGATAAATTACTAAAAATAAGTATTTGCATAATTTGTGTTTTTCAATGATTAAAATAACAGTTTCTAAATAACAGTAGTAAAATAAATCCTGTTAACAAATTGTATTTGTTAAACTCTCTATAATTGAGATTAAATGATCGCAACGTTTCGTTGCTCAGTCTATTTCGAGCATAATATTTGGAAGTAATCAATAAAATTATTTAATATAAACGAGGTCAAAACAAATCTTTATTAAACAATTATCCATTGACTATTCACATGTCGAATTTAATTCATAGTGTTGATGTGAGTCATTAAATTTTAAATTTGTTCCTATTTCAGCATGTTTAAGTATATACTTTTCTTATCTGAATCAGTTAGTTGTGTTTAGCCCTCAACCATGATCAGGAACATACTCGTTGTTCTCATCGTCCATGAAACTCAACTTAGATAATATGAAATGTGGCTCACAGGGGAGTCCAGGGTGTGCTTTTCATCCTGTTTGGACTCTTTAACTAGTTACATCCGCACCTCAGAGTTGATGTTCACTCCTAAACTCAAACTCATTACTAATCGCTTTGAATGTCATCATGTTATCCATTCAGCTGCTCACTCCAGATAAACCGTCACTTGTGCAACGGATATGAATTTTAACTCTATTCGAAATTGCTTGCATGATCTTGTTGTCGATATTTTGACTTAAATATAACCAGTCTTAGTTTCGCATATGTATATCTTGTATGAAGTCTTGTACGTCTACTCTTAGAGTGAACATCAACTCTACGATGCAGGTACATCCAGCCTACGAGTCCCAAATAGGACAAAACACTCATGCTGTATTCTATTGCTTGTCTATTTTACATAAATTAGTTATTATTTTGAAAAATCAATCATATAAACTAATTTGAATTATATTTTGTTTGACCAATATTCGGTCTAGACTGAGTAAATAGACTATTACCATCTAAACAAAATTTCAAATATTCTTGGCACACGATTGTATTTGAAATGATATCATGAGTTAAATACAAAAGAAAAATGTAATCAGTCATAATAGAAGACTTGCTTGTATTAGTGGAATAATATCTCACTGACAAACCATCAGATTAATTAAACTGAAATTTTAGCATTCATCTAGTACCGTGAATTTTCATGTCCTAATGACCTGGCTATTTAACCCATAAAATTGAAACACAGTCTATATATATATATAATTATTAACTAGTATAAATTAAATTAATTTGTATTTCGTATATTTTTATTGTTAAAATGCCTTTATCATTGCGTATCAACTAAATTAATCGGTATACACATATATAAACCGGAATGATGTGTACTAGATTTCTCATAATCAAGGGTCCTAATCTCACTTTTTCTTGAACTAAATTGTCAACTTTCCCAATTTAAAAATCCCCATTGGAATATTTTAAGACACAGCATTAGAATACACATATTTAAAACTTGAATTAATTCAACTTTCATACTTTATCTATTTTAACACAATAATTTCGGATTTATAGGGGTAGAGCCTAATGAAAAAGTTATTCTGAACGATCACTTGTTTTGACAGTTTTGGTTAACTTTTTGTTTTAGTTCACTCTATTCATACTTGTCTGCCCTGATTGTATTTTATAAATCATGATTCTATCTAAAATATTCTTATCGTTAATAATCTTTAGCCTGTTTATGTGTCATCTTTTTGCCAAAGTTTAATAACGACTTCGTTCGTTTAAGGTTGTAGAGATAGTTGAGTTTCATTAAAATCATGAGCTGATCTATATTAGGCCACCATTAGAAACTTGAAAGCACAACGGTGGTTTCATCTGAGTATGGAACCAATTAACACTGCGTATCCACGACCTCCGCCAGTAGAACCTTCGGGGCTACTGCTGGTCCCAAGCCTGGGTAAAGGAGGAGGGTTGGACATGGGGTTGGCGACCCCATTCCGTCAAAAACTAACTTGCCAAAAAAACGCTAACCAGAAAAAATAATTCAAACCATTTTAACTCTGCCCTGGGAGTTGGAAGAAGAATTATGACGTCGCGTGATGAAAGCCGAGTTCCCTCGGAAGTCACGGGACCGATGCCTCTTCTCACAACCAGAGCAACCATTTTTTTAGGTACATGGAACGTTCGTACATTGTGGGAGTCTGGAAGACTATTTCAAGTTGCGGCAGAAATGAAAAGATACAACCTCGAGGTGCTCGGCATCAGTGAAACGCATTGGACACAGGTAGGACAACTAAGACTAGCTTCAGGGGAACTGCTGTTATACTCTGGTCATGAAGAGGAACATGCTTCACATACACAAGGAGTTGCACTGATGCTGTCCAAACATGCACAAAAGGCACTGATAGGATGGGAATCTCATGGACCTAGGATCATTAAAGCATCTTTCTAAACAAAGAAAGCGGACATTAAAATGAATGTCATCCAATGTTATGCACCTACCAACGACTACAATGACGACGTTAAAGATCAATTCTACGAAAGGCTACAGTCAATCGTCGAGAAGTGTTCACCAAATTATTTGACGATTCTCGTGTGAGACCTGAATGCCAAGGTTGGAATGGACAACACAGGATATGAAGACATCATGGGACGACATGGACTGGGAGAAAGGAACGAAAATGGTGAGATTTGCAAACTTATGTGCCTTCAACAAACTGGTCATCGGTGGCACAATATTCCCGCACAAGCGCATACACAAAGCCACATGGATTTCACCGGACCACACTACTCAAAACCAAATTGACCATATCTGTATCAACAAAACATTCAGAAGGACTATGGAGGATGTGAGAACCAAGAGAGGAGCTGATATAGCCTCAGATCACCTTTGGTGATCGCCAAAATGAAACTGAAACTAAAGAGGCACTGGACAACGGGACAGACGACATCACAGAAGTTTAATACGGCCTTTCTTCGGGATACTGTAAAGCTCAAGCCTTTTAGGATCTACTCGATGGAAAGGACACAACATTGGAGAACAATTGGAAAGGGATCAAGGAGGCAATTACTTCAACATGTCATGAAGTTCTGGGTCACAAGAAGTACCATCACAAGAAATAGATCCCTGTTGGTACTCTTGAAAAAATTGAAGAAAGGAGGAACAAGAAGGCAGTAATCAATGTCAGCCGAACAAGAGCAGAGAAAGTTGCCGCACAAGCTGCATACACAGAAGCAAACAGGGAAGTGAAGAAGAGCATCAGAGCTGACAAACGAAAATATGTGGAAGATCTAGCAATGACGGCGGAAAAGGCTGCAAGAGAAGGAAACTTGAGACGATTGTATGAAACAACAAAGAAGCTGGCCGGAAAATACCGTAAACCAGAACGACCAGTAAAAAGCAAGGAAGGGAAAATAATCAGTAACACTGAAGAACAGCGAAATAGGTGGGTGGAGCACTTTAAGGAACTCTTGAATCGATCAGCTACACTGAACCACCTAACATCGAAGCAGCATCTACGGATCTCCCAATTAATATTGGCTCACCTGCAGTAGAAGAAATCAGTATGGCCATCAGACAAATCAAGAGCGGCAAAGCAGCAGGACCAGACAACATTCCAGCAGAGGCAATGAAAGCAGATGTAGAAGCAACTGCGAAAATACTTCACATCCTCTTCAAAAAGATTTGGGATGAGGAACAAGTACCATCAGATTGGAAAGAAGGATACCTCATCAAAATACCAAAGAAAGGCGATCTGAAAAAGTGTGAGAACTACATAGGAATCACTCTTCTTTCAATACCAGGCAAAGTCTTCAACAGGGTATTGTTTAACAGAATGAAGGACTTCGTAGACGCCCAGCTTCGAGGTCAACAGGCTGGATTTCGTAAGGATCGATCATGTACTGACCAAATTGCTACATTACGGATCATTGTGGAACAATCAATTGAATGGAACTCACCACTCTACATCAACTTCATTGACTACGAGAAAGCATTCGATAGCGTGGATAGGAAAACACTGTGGAGGCTTCTTCGACACTACGGTGTGCCTGAGAAAATAGTTAACATCATACGGAATTCTTATGATGGATTAACTGCAAAATCGTACACGAAGGACAGCTGACAGACTCTTTCGAGGTGAAGACCGGTGTCAGGCAAGGTTGCTTACTCTCACCCTTTCTCTTTCTCCTGCTGATCGACTGGATTATGAAGACGTCGACATCTGGAGGGAAGCACGGTATCAACTGGACAGTTAGGACGCAGCTGGACGATCTGGACTTCACAGATGACCTGGCTCTTCTATCGCACATGCAACAACAAATGCAAGAGAAGATGACCAGTGTAGCAGCAGCCTCTGCAGCAGTAGGTCTCAACATACGTAAAGGAAAAATCAAAATTCTCCGATGCAACACAGCATGCACCAACCAAATCACTCTTGATGGAGATGCCTTAGAGGACGTTAACACCTTCACATATCTTGGCAGCATCATCGACAACCAAGGTGGATCCGACGCAGATGTGAGGTCACGGATTGGCAAAGCAAGGGCTGCATTTCTACAGTTGAAAAATATCTGGAACTCCAAACAACTTTCAACCAAAACCAAAATCAGGATTTTCAATACAAATGTCAAGACAGTTCTACTGTATGGAGCGGAAACTTGGAGAACTACCAAAGCCATCATCCATGAGATACAAGTGTTTATTAACAGCTGCCTACGCAAAATACTTCGTATTCGTTGGCCAGACACCATCAGCAACAACGAACTGTGGGAGAGAACAAACCAGATTCCAATGGAGGAGGATATCAGGAAGAAGCGGTGGAAGTGGATAGGACACACACCACGAAAAGCACCAAACTGCGTCACGAGACAAGCCCTCATTGGAACCCTCAAGGCAAAAGGGAAAGAGGAACACCAAGGAACACATTACGCCGAGAAATAGAGAAAGATATGAAAAGAATGAACAAACATTGGACAGAATTGGAGAGGGAAGCCCAGGACAGAGTTGGTTGGAGAAAACTGGTGAGCGGCCTATGCTCCATTGGGGGTAACAGGCGTAAGTAAGTAAGTAAGTAAGTAAGTAAGTAATCCACGACCTCACGAACCCAGGACCGTTGGTCTCGCTCTCGAACGTTTAACCTGTAGACCACTATGCTAGCATCCAACGGTGTTAATACCAACATGAATCAACTCACGATATTGAGTGACCACCACACATCGTCTCCGGTTGATAACTGTTTCACCTGCTGGTGACAGCTCACTAAAACTTTCGCACATTGAGTTATGGATGCGCAGCGCTGATGAGTTCCATACTGATTTAATGAACGAAAACTTTCATAACAGATAGAATATTAATATGTTTAAAGAAAACAAAGTTTACTAACAAAATATATACATTATGTCTTCAAACTTCCATTTACAAGACATGCAGGTTATTAACTATTTTCTTTCACATGTCTTCTGATCTTCAAGACATTTTGATTGTGCCATGCATTCCGATGCCACACTGTTCTCTCCGGTCGTAACACCAGAAACCTACAAATCAAATTGAAAAGCGTTTAACTCAAAATAAAATGAAATATATGAGATTGCAAAGATTTAGAGTAATAAGGTTGAGCATATGATGAAATGTAATAATCAAAAAATAGTTATTAGCTTACAAAAAAACACATCTGAGGTATTTTCCTAGCATAGGGCATATGAAAATTATGACATATAGTAGATTACTAAGTGTTTACAAATTGTATTCAGTTGAGATTATACAGCTTTTATAGTTAAATCTGTTTGTCTTCCCACTAAACCATTGTCTCTTGGTTTCTGTAAAAGTGTCAACTTAGTGTACATAGAGTTAAGATGTGTATTTTTCAATATTCTACAATATTTAAATTTTTTCAAAGTAATATGATAACGTGTGCTGAGAATAACTGAATAATGGAGAAATCAATGTGATCTGTAAATACAGATAACAGTTATATTAGAGATCTGCTAGTTTTATAGCTGATAAAGTGTGAACGAGAAGTATGTGAGCCGCAATGTATTGTGTGAGTGGCAATCCTTGTAGCCTGCAAGCTGAGAAAAAAAATAGAGTGATGTGAGATCAGGGTTAAATTTAAACAATAGTCTTGCAGTCAGTAACAGTGATTGTATAAATGAAGTGAAATTATGAAAATGTGAATAAAAAAATTATTTACTATGTAATTCTATGTTAACCACCTCCACAGTCATTATTCATGACCCGAAATAGAAGCCATTAAGGATACTTCTGTGCATTTTTAATACATTCTTTAAAAAAAAGTAAAATGAACCTGCTGAAGTGAATGAGATTTTTTTGCTGGTTTTTGTATTTCTAATTGAATATTTTAATAAATACTAGTCCTGTTCATTTATTTAATGACTGTATGACCTTTCTCTCGTTTAGTTCCTTCTCAATGTTATTGATCTCACTTTTGTGTTATAAATTCATATTGTCGTCATATATTATCAGAAGATTTTCTGTGTTATGATTAAATAAATGATAAAACTCTTAAGATTGTTACACCACTGAATGTTTACCCTAAAAATGACCATCATACATGTTTTCCTTCTGAATCAGCGTTTCTTTCTTGATGATACTCATCGGAAAAGCATTCCTATTGGTCTTAGGTAATTCATACTATATTAAAGATTCAAACCCACTCTATACAGAAGTATAATAAAGCCTAGATAGAATAGATATAATTTGGCTAGCTGTGAAATCCAAGACGTATGTTTCTTCTTAGGTGTGACTCGTCGGCTGGACTTAAAGTGTATACTACATCCAGTAGACACTATAATCGTTTTTTTTTGAATCACAAAGGGATTTGCATATTCATTCAACTTAATGTATGTAGATAAAATCAAAAAATAATAATGTAATTTGTTTTCTGTTCACAGGTTTACTATATCTTGGAGCACATCAATTGTTCTCTCGATGAAATGCCGAACTACCAATGAAAGCCTCGTGGAGATTTCTATCAATAAATGTATATAACATTTTGTTTTTTTGCAGAGAAAACGTAATCGCATTTTCCAAGATTATTTTAAAATTAACTACGTTTTCTAATTTTTTAGAAAAAATAAATGTTTTAATTGTTACTGTAAGAGAATTTTGGTTAATATAACTATCACATAAATCTATGTTTATATTTGTCAATATTTGGACGAAGTTTGGCAGAAATCGGGTGTCGACAATCATGAAGATGTTATACACGTAAATTTTATTTGAAATAATGTCAGCAAAAGAAATTTGAATAATACCAACAAATTGACCAACAAGCTTGTATGAATCTCTTAAGAATAATTATAAGAATTAAAATCATCAATGAGTAAATTAAGTTTCGAAACTAAAAAGACTATCCAATCGAGAAAAGCATAATATACTTACGGTCTATCAGGCAATTAAGAGAAACTGCCGAGTTATAAAACTATTAACAGCTAAAAGCCACAAAATATCAGTAGAATAATAGCTTTTATTTGAATAATCAACCTTCACATGTTGAATTATTCCTTGTAGTGAAAAGGAAAGGCTATTAAAAGTTGGACTAGTGTTATGAATTACAGTTATCATTCCACAAAGTTTTCGTCACTGAGACCAACTATGATACTAAAAGGTTGGGGTTAGGTTTTGAAAGTTAAGTTGGAGTTCTGAGTTTAGTTTCTCACATTAAGGTTATGTTTTTCACTGCAAACTGACATCAACAATGATGCAAAGCTTTGTTATTCTTCTGTTAAAAAGTTAAGAGACTTATGATAGAGATTAAAAGTTAAAATGGGACAGTATAGTTAGATAGCTTCACTAAACACTCTTGATAATGTACTTAATCACAACGAATACTTTGCCTAGAGAGCGGTTATGCTTAGTAGTTTAGCTTAAGAACCATTCTAAATTCATTATTGGTTTCGTAACATTAGTTTTGGCTGATTTCAAACGATTGAGGGACCATCACTTGCCGATCTTTACTTCGTTAACTACTATCTGCAAGTTCTTTATCGCTGCGCTTTAAATTCACATAAAATACGTGAGGATATACTTTCATTGTGATTGGTAAGCTCAAGGCCGTCGGTATATTATGCTTTTGCCATCCAGTCATACTTAGATATTGATCTTTATTTAATGCGAAAATATGGGTCATAAGATGTGAAAAAATTCATAATGTGTGCGTCTGTGTTATTATGAATTAAACTTTTCAAGTAAATAAATGAAGTCTGTCACCCACCGGGACCTTGTTAGTTATTTTTATTTACCAAAAATTAATAGTACAAATCAAAAGTCTGGATCATCGAAGTGGATATAGATTGAAAAAATATATGTGACGTTAAACATTAAAAAATATTTCTCTATCTAAAACAGGTTACTGATAATATAAACAGGCTGGATAATAATGAGCTTCAATTGCTTGTTAATTAATAATTGCAACCTCGTAGCTAGTCGAGAATCGCATCTTTTCTGCTCACACCGTTCTGAATCGTCCGTAGAGAGAGTACTCTTCAGTCAATATTTTGTGTGTGTGCCAAATCCTTTTTGAAGTCCCGACCGTAGCTGCTACCTTGACGTGGTGGTCAGGCTTGCCTATCCTGTCGACCCAACCAAGCTATATTGGTTGAAACATATATTTCTGTAGGTCCTACCATTCCAGGCAGGTCGATTGGAGAACGATGAGACTAAAAGCAGCTACTCAAGGTCTGAGGGCAAAGTCGTACTGCTGACTGTAGAGGAGTGTGACAGCAGTAAGGTGTTTACCTCGGACAACCAGCATCTTCACAATGGAAGGAAGGGGTTAGATAAGGTTGACCTTAGAAATGTCAGAGTCTTACTACACGGATTTCCGTCTCCGGTGGTAAGACCTTTTAAAAGTTAACGGAGCTAACACTTTAAAACGTTATAAAAAGCCGGTCGCAACTGGCCTCAAGCAGTTGTTTCTTGGGCTCTGCGTCCACACTGCCAGATCTCTCAGGCCAACACTAATCCATTTTCCTCACAGGTTCCTCAAGAAATACCCTTTCACTGTGTAGGCTAACGGGAAGTGACACCCGCCCTCGTACTCGTTACAGCACACGAGACCAAATTAGTCACAATCAAATCCTCCCTTTTCACGTCCCTTTATAAGCCCACGCTGCTAAGCAGAACGTTATTCCTGGTCTCCTGATGAGCTGAGCACTTTAAGGATCAGTTCAGCTGGCCTTCAGCCACACTTCGATCACCCACGACCTCCAATCAAATTGAATGGCAAACTGACGTAAGTCCTCCTACTCTTTATGAAGCTGAGAAGGCTGTACAAAATCTAGAGCGAAGAAGAGCGGCGGGTCCAGATAGGCTAAATACTGAGATTTTAAAGTCAGTCAGTCAGTTAAAACGTAGAACTTCGTATGTACGTACATCAATTTGGGTTGCTATGCCGCGTTAGCAACGAGACGTAACTTTCCGTTCAAATCTCATAGTGTTAGAGACAGTAGGAGTATTAGTATTGGAGAAGATTAGGTTTTGAAGGAAAGTGGTCCAGTTTCAGCAGTAAGATTGACTGAATTCTTAGGCAGAACTTGGGGACTGGGTGTAATACCATCCGACTGGTCTCAATCACCATTTGTCTAAATTTATATAAAATGACATAAGTCCTCTTGTGACAGTACTTCTCAAAAGAACGTATATAATGGTACTTACTAGGCTCTCAAGATGCGCAATAACAGTGACTTGTATCTTATTACACTTGCTTCATGAAGATATTCATTAATAAAGCTTGAACAACTGAAGGCTACCGATAACTAACATACCTAGAAACCAGTAATCTATTTTATCAACAACCTTTTATATGTTTATCATCATACACCAGTGATGACTATTCCCCAAATAGAATAATAAATGTCCTTAGATCCTACTAAATTTCATCCCTCATCTACTAAAACCACCATGTTTAACAGATTTTCCGAAACTTCAAAGATTCGAACTCATTTTTAAGAGCGCAAAACCGTTTTGATGACTAAAGATGTATTGTGTGCTTTCGGAAAGTGCATAAGCGACCCAATGTGGGTTGTTGAGATCAGTTATAGTTTGGCAAGAATACTGAAGAAACACCACACTTGTTAGTACCTATTTTTGTAGTTTGATCTTCAGGAAGATAATCATTGATTGATCTTCGCCTAAGCGTAACGAAGTGGATTTTCACAAAACTTAACTGACCAGCAACTACTAGTCAAACGAATAGGTATTAAATGTAAAATTTTACACACTGACTTGTTATTTTATGGGGAAGTAATGACTGACCTCGCAGTAACTAAAAAACTATTATTCTTATCATTATATTCTCAAAAACCTTGGGATAAAAGAGTATCTGGTAACTTACTTCAGCCTTGAAATATATTTGACGAAGCCAGCAGAATTAGTAGCTTAATGTGGCTCTGAATTTTCACTACTATATTCTTTCCGAAATAGTTGAGTCCAAGTGCTATATTCAGATCAATTGTTGGGTGTTGCGGCTGATACAAGAGCCAATACACAGACGAACTTTGCTTGACTAATACGCAGCAATAACGGGCTGACTCGCTACCCTATGCTTGAAATCAACCTAACCAAACTGAAGAGGAAAAACGAAGATCGCTGACCATCAGTTCAATATTCGTTAATAAACTTCATACATCTCTTTATGTACACGCAAAACCACGCCACATCGCAACGAAAAAATTAAAATTAACAACTATAAATGAATGAGCCAAAGGTGGCTTTGATTAGAGGAGACTGTAAATAATAGACTAGCAATAGGTTACGAGTAATAAACCATAAACCTGTAATGAGCTCAGGATACTGGGTATATAAATAGATAACAATCGAGTTATTTAGTAATTATACTAATAGACTATGTATAAAAACAATCCGTAAACTGGATTCATAATTTATACTTTGGTCTTCATCCGAGTATAAGAATACGGCTTTGTCTATTTGATCCAGCAGTTATTTTACTAATCATTGTTTTCAAAATTCCATTATCATGTAAGCTTTTAGCAATACTACTTATATTACTGTACTACATTTAAGTAGCCTCATACGGAAAACCTGCATCAAATACAACCCAAACCTAGGGAGCGTCAACTAACTTTTAACACTTTCCCTTCCGCATTCGGTATTTTTGACCAATCATAATATTGTAAGAAGCACACAACCAGAAATGATTCTTCTAGTTACCCTTCTAGTACCCCGCATTTATATAAAGAGAAGAAATTCGCAGCAGGATCATCAATCGCTTCTATTCTGAGTTATTTCTGATAACGTCTCAAGCCACTGAGGAGCATTAGAATCCCAACCTCAGAGTCGTGAACGACCAACAGATGCCAGTCCTGTACAGCCTTCTCTCATACCACGACACCATATCATACACTGATCACCTCTCCACTTTTCCCAATCAGTTCTAGCCCTCGCAAATGATGCATGATGTGCGATTTGCTGTGACTACATTCACAGTTCATGTCTGAGACACCGAGGTCGGTGTTTCCAGATTGTGGCACCAACTGGATTATCGATGGCATGTCCAAACACGCATCATCGAACTTCTGCATTAATAATATGCTGTTGCCACTGAATGTCAACAAACCTTCAGAGACTATAGTGATCGAACAGAGAAAGCTGTCTTATATCTCCAATCGGAGAGACCAGGTTTCACAAGATAACGCAATCTGCTCCCTCTAATTCATTGTGAATCAGACCTTTTACATAAAAACTAATACAAATCAATTCGAAAGATGGTCCAGATTGGCGAACGTTGCTCTGGCTTACACTATACGTGAATTGATCTCGTCACTCATGCCACCACCAGCACTCACACAGTTATCCAGGTTCATGAAATTCTCTACTGCTTTCACCTGCTCATTAACAAGACTGATTGCAGGTTCACGGTCCTGTCAGTCCTGTAAATTGCTATGAACTCAGTTGAAAAGCATATGCCATAACTATGGACACTGATTGCTTACTGACTAAGTGCGGATTGCATGATTTGGGATGGCTCTCACAGCAAGAAAATATCATCCTCATGCTCGATATCAAAAAGGCTTTCTCCAGGTTGCTGATTCACACCATCATTATCTACATCCGTCAAGGCTGTTTCCAGAACATCATCGATCGCGAACTTGAGGAGGAATGGTGATACTGAGCAACCCTGCCTCATCCCACTGATTGAATAAGACAATATGGAGAGGTTGTTTTATATCCTCACTCTACCTCAGGTATTCGTAAATAGGGCCTTCAAGATGCTAACAAACCTCTCAGACACACGTTTCTTCAATGGACAATCTCAGAAAACAGTCCTATCCAACCAATAGAAGGCATTCCTGATGTTGAGAAACACAACCATCGTTGGTATGAGATTATTATGACAAGGTCCTAAGGTAAAGATATGACCAACACACTCATGACCAGAACGAAAACCAGCCTGCTCATTACCAGTCAATCTTCCCCGGGTTCTGAACAATCTACGAAGTATAGTGTAAGCCAACAATTTGGACACAATCGGTAGTAGACTAATTACCCTGTAGTTGTTACACAGATGATGTGAACTGTTTTAGAGATGAGGACAACTATCGACTGAATCCACGATGATGGAACAATCTCTAATTGCTGAATGGTTGCAAATAGTCCAGTCTGTCTAGTAGTCAGCAGGTCGCTACCATATTTAGAAAGGACCGGAAATAAGTCATAATTTGAACCTGGTAATTTGTACAGCCTCAACAGTTAGAGTTCCTCATGGAACCCCGCCTTATTGAATGGGTCAGTCGTCACTGGCCATGAAGGATAGGATAGTGTGATCGATGTTGCCCTGGCAGCGGACCAGCTGAACTGATCCTCAAATACTCTGTTCATCTTCAAAGACATTGATGGATGTTATTTATCGCTGTCTCACCGGCTCCATAGATTGTTTCACCCACACCAGACAGTAAGTGAGATGAGTTAAAAGAGCCTCGAGAGTTATCAGATGGAGCTGCTACTTCCAACTTGTTAGTACACTTCGACCACTAGATCACTTTATCCTCACGAAAACTTAGCACTATCTGTTTGCGTAACAGCTTTCTTTGATTGCCAAACTCGCGGTTACCCGAAGTAGACCGACTGTCCGCAATGAGTGCCAGTGAGGCTTCAGGAACCTAGTGCTACGTCTCACGAAGTCGCAAGTGACTTCATTCACCACTTTCGTACCTATGCGCAGCAGCAGCTGCTGCTCATCCTGACTTTTCGGTGCATCGATAGCTAGCTTTGGACTAACCTTGGTTTGAAACTTAGTTGTGACAGAACCTGCAGCCTATATATATATATATATATATATATATGATGGCGGTCACTCATTTGTCAGTAGAAACGTATTCTCACATAGTTATCTTGCTTCTCTTGTGATTATAAGTAAATCAGAGCGACCTACGTGAATTCGGTCTTAAACTAGTTCCTCATGATCACTGAATTAAAGTAAAATAAACGCAATTTAGTGTCTCGACTCAAATACATTTCGCACAAAAATTGGCATTTATCTGATTTTATGATGATGCAACGATATCATTTCATTTGTTCCATCTATTATCACAAACAAATACAGTTAGTTGGTGTACAAATATACAATTGAACAATCAGCAACAGAGTTCACACTCTAAAAATTTGAATTAAGCAGCATTTACTGCTGATGCTTAATTCCAAAGACGTAAATGAAATACAGCTAACTAAAAATCTATTCAATCTATCCAGTGCCATCAACTGCTTCCATGTTTCTAATGGTGGTCTAACATTGGTTGATTCATGATTTTAACATTCACATAATGTTAAAGACCACCAATAACAGTTCTAAACACAACACAAACTATATGAACAAATAATAATGATTTAGTCACTACCTAATATGAAATACTCAGATGATGTTATGTTGATACTGTTAACAAAAATGTGTTTAGTAATAGTTTAAATACTGAAATGATATCTAGTGGCACTTACTGCTGTCTACTCATATTTCACTTATTTCTGCAACCGCATCGTACATTATCCTCCCAAATGCCAGCTGAAAATCATGGTCTTTTAAGTTTAAAATATGTTTAGCTAGACATATTAATTTAAAGAGTTTGATTGGTTGACTTTGTAGTATCGATTCGACAGCCATTTAGGATTATGTCTATCGTTCTACTGTAAGGAAGAAATGGAAAGAACATTTATAAAAGCAAAGAAGTAGTCAGTCTATTGTCCGTTGTTTGGTACATTAATATGGCTTAGAAGTCACGTGTAATTCGATTTCACTGAGTTATTCTGTTTTCGGCGGAAACTATGACTGATCATAAAATAAATATGGGAATGCAACCTCTGAAAACATTTTTAGCTCGTGCTATGTATGATAATCTGTCAGAAAATCCAACAGAATTAAGGTTTTCACGTGGTGATATAATCACAGTTTTGGATAGAAATCCATCTGGTTTAGAAGGTTGGTGGGTATGTAGTATTCGTGGTCAACTGGGAATTGCACCGGGTAATCGTCTGGAATTATTAGGTCTTATAAATGTAAGTATTTTTTTGTTTAAATAATTCCATTTGTTTGAAAAATAACTTTCCAGCACAGTTTGATTTTGTCTAATCACTTATTTACAAACCAAAATAATATCCTCCTCGCATTCAAAATATCAATGTTCTTTCATCAGTAAATTTGCACTCTTGACACGTTTTTCATATGAAATAGCTGAAAGAGTTTTCAACTTCAAAGTGCATTATAGGTTTGATTGGTATGAGTTATTTTAAATTCCCTGATTCTATATGAAAACCTCAGATAAGTAATATCCATCATCTAAATTCTATAATGGATGATGGTATACAACAAAACTATCAAGTCACATTGATTACTGTGACTATAGTATCTGTATGACATTGTTGTATAAGTCTTTTATCTCAAAATGAGAAATACGCAAACACAATTTGAATTTAAATACGGCATTTAGTTAAAATCTGGTGATTTTTAGGATTACAGATACATGGGTTGAATATACGGTCGTTACAGTGTTATCATATATCCCATAACAAAATTGATCTAAAACTCTAATTTTAGGAGTGTCGAAACTGTATACAAGTAAACGAAATATAATTTCTCAACTAGGATTCTTCTGAAACTACTTCAGCTAAACGAAACATGTATTACTTTGCCAGTTTAAATCCTATTATTGTATTTTAATTCATCAAGAATTATCCAACTAAAGATAAAAAGTGTGGGATGTAAAACAGCGCGTAGGTCTGTAATAAATTTAGTTACACAAACAGCTTCTTGAAACAACTGCAATATTCAATGTTTATCGCATCATTATTCGATGCAAGAACGAGGAAGCTAAATATCTCCTGTAAATGAAAATAAATTCAATTTTTCTTCGAATTTGTTTACCCTATTGCCGCCATTACCTATCATAATGGCGGTCCTGATTCAATTGTACTAGAGTCCAAACTTTCTCATCTTAAGTATCTTAGAAGCACTAAATTTCTTCTCACTACGTGTAAAACTAGAAGTAAAATTTGAGTCTACCTCAATGAATTTATGTTTTTCCGCCTCTCTTATCCTTCCTGATAAAATTATCTACTTGTTTTCAGTGTGTCAATTTAATTTAAATAACTGAATCACATTCTGTTTATCCGAAACCAATCTATACACTCGATCATACTAAGTCAATTATCTCATCTTAACTTCAGAGTTAGTAAAGAGTTTATAAATGATAATGTCCACTGATTTAATATCTAGCTGTATTATCAAACTATTTCATCATTTTAACTGACAATCAATTTGTGATCTCAAATCTTATATATCATAAGGAATTTTTGCAATATTATATTGTACTTTGCAGAAAATACAACAACAAAAGCTTTCATATTATTTCAGTAGACATTCTTTTTGAATTCCTCGTATGTAAATTGGAATTTGTTAACAGATGTCAACATATAGAGATTTCCTCTTGACTTCAACTGGATTGTAGATTGTTTATCAGTATACTGCTTCAACTAAACATAATATCATTCACATGTGTTTAGTGACAGTCAATATCTTGTTCATTCTATCGTCTGTTCTAGTGTGCCACTAGTGTATTACTGTCACTAAATAACGATAGAATTTTCTGAATATGTCATAACATATTTACAAAAGAATAGCTTTAGAAGGTAAAGACGGTTTGTGATCACAGTTGTAGGCACTATGTTTGACTAAAACTTACATGGTTAATAATGAAGGCTTATTCTTAGATACTTGGCACTTACTTTCAAGTTTAGTATTACTCAACTAATAATACAAACAGCATACAGAACACATATTATTGTTAAGACGTGTAAAAATAGAAAGAGTAACTAGAAATCATTCGTGGTTAGTGAATTTCGAATGTAAAGAGTGAGATCAATATCACCTATGATACAAGATGGTCGGCGTACTATTCGTATGTTCAAAAGTAACAGATTCAAAATTTCTAACACAGTTCATGTGATCGAGAGGTAAATTATCAGAGAAGTTGTATTTTACGGTACAGTTATTCACTTATTCGATTAGATTGTCTATAGGGCAGATTAACAACTTCTTTAATGACATGATTAATAATGAACAACGATCCGTTGCCGAAACCGAATCCGAAAATATCGGGTACATCAGCTCCCTGTTACTCTCTATTCATTTACGTCTCAAAACTCACACAGCAATAAAATTCAATTACTTGACTATACAGCCTATAAACTGATAATTTTTATAAATAAAAAACTCAATCATAAGTAATACAGGAACACACCAATAAGAATAAGTTGGCCACAATTAATTAATGATCAATAAATTGACTAATAACGATTCTAGAACAATAAGGAGTAGAATCATGATTTTTGGATCAAGACGAACCTTGCAGATGGATGTGTTTAGAAATACAACTTCCCAAATGTCTCGCAATTACACAATGATTTATCCATGATTTCAAAGCAAATCTATGACCTCTATCATACTATAATGCAAAATCAAAAAACTTACTCACTGGTGACTAGCTTCATGAAGAAATTCTCGAAGTTCTGGTCAGGAGAAGTGACCAGTAGAATTCAACCCTGTCGGGTGTCGTCAGTTACCTACCGAAGAAAATCAGTGAGGCTACACAAAATCCTTGAACACTGCTGATGAGCCCCATACCACGACGAAACGGCCGTCCAGCGCCTCCAGGTTTCTAATAGTGATTTGACACTGATCGATTGTACATTTCAATGTAAAAGTATATAAACCATAAATTCTTGAGGGATAGTTCTAAAAGTTCAACTTTACTAAAATCCTTTCTGATATGACAGTATCACATCGTTAATCAATTGAATTAGGAAACTCAATCAATCCAATGGTCGACAGATATGTTTTCTACAAAAACCGAATATTATGGATTCAGCAGTATAAAATTTATGATTGCTCGGTACTAAGGAAGTCTAAACTAGTTCAAACATCTTTTCAAAAATTCTTGGTTTTGAACACTTCCTCGACTGATGTTGTTACAGTGTTTATGTATTCTTTCGAGTTTTTAAGTGCTTTATATTCCTGTTTGGTGGTATTAGGAACTGTGTCTCATTATGCTGTCAGAATTTGTGATTCTTTTCACAGTACGGTTTGTTTATTCATCTTTCAATAATTTAAGAGACAATTTACTGATCGATTCTACTTCCTGAACATTAGTTGCTTTCTAGTAATATTTTCAGTTAGCATCTTGTCTTGTATTGTTTCAACATTGTTCTTATCACTTGTTAAGATATTCTTTTGATTTTTCATTCCATCAATGAAAAGAAACTTTTTATCTTCTTTTGGAAACATTGCAAAAATGTAATTCTTGTTTTTTAAATAAATTCTACATGAATTCAATATACAGTAAATGTTGTAGTATTTGATAGACATCCGTCAATATAAACATACTCGAGCTATAAATAGTCATTATATTTTGGGAATAAAACTTCCTATACAATTCTGATTTTCTTTTTGTACATAAAATGAAGAGATTGATAGCGATTAATTTGCATCACAGAGCTGTAAAGTAGCTAATATATGAACAATACTTCAGAGTCAATGTAATTAAATCATTTAGTTGCATAAAATCCTAATGTATTTCATCAGTTCACCATAATCTTAGTTGATCTCAGTCTTATCATATGTCACTATTGACTTTCAAGACGAAAACGTTTATTCAAAGAATTCTAGTCTAGAATATTACTTTAATCTTCACCAAAGAAAAACAAACCAGAACAGAAAATGTTACACTGCAAGAACCGTGAATTTCCTATCGAAATAACTGACTTCAATCTACGCTGCTGTAAATTACAAACCAAAACTGGATTCATTGATTTTGTTTATTAAAACAAATGACCAATATACCAGTAAGGTATGTAGCTGTAACGAGTACTACTGAATTCATATTCTCATTCAATACTGATTACTTACAGCCACTCAGTACGCTTACCATTTGCATTTACTTTTTTATAGAATGACTAGATTGTTAATATGTGAACAGGAAATTTTATTTTACGTCAAGCGTAAATAAAACTACTGATTTATATACTGATTGAAAGAAAAAAATTAATATTATCTGAGTTTATGCTTGATCATTTTCATACATTATTTATTCAAAACTTTTTCTTTGGTTTATAGCGTAGTAGTGTAATTAATGTTTGTCAGAAAATAACGTTTAGTACATAAATGAACCGTAAATGATTTTGCATAATTCATAAAAATATAGTGTAGAAAACTAATACACTCAAAACCGAATATTCAGCTTAAATTTACTGAATTAAAACACAAGGTTTTCCGGTTTAACTTATATATATATATAATGAAATTATAGGAAGAATTTTATTAATTTATTTATATTTTTTTGCAGTAACTAAACACTTTGATGAATTCAGAAAAAAATAATCTCGATTATTTACACTTTTCACTATTATGGTAGGAATCGCTTCCAATCTTGACGAAATCATGTTCTGAAAAGTATTTTTTTTTGTTCCAATGTTTGAAAGAATAAAATAAAATTCATGTGATGCTGATAAACGAAAGACAATATTCACGTTTCTTTAGACATTTTTGTCCCTAATCTCTTTATCAAGACAATTGTTTGTTTTAACACTAATATAAATCAGTATGATTACTACAATTGATTTTTTTTGCCTCTGTTGAAATCATCTGATCGTTTATCATTTAGTTTAATGTTTGTCTAGAAAAACACCCATTGTCATGACAACTCAATCCACCACATTATATGTGGTAATATTTTTTTGAATATTTACTCTGTATTTCTCACAATTTGATCAATGGTCTAATTCATGGAACACAGAGACCTTAAATTAAGTAACGTAAAAAATTTTTAAAAATTCATTGTTAGAAGTTAATACTGTTCAATCTAGAATTTTGACAATAATAATTTAAATACGTCTAAAAGGATTTTTAAGTGGTATTAACTATTTGGTTAGAAAAAGAGTACACATGTCATAAAATGTTCATTATGACTTAGGTCAGTTGAATAATTTACATTCTAGCTAGTATTTTTTTCAATTAATATTAGTGATCAAGGTATAAAGAAATTAAATATACTGATTTGCATAAAGCGATACCGATTGCTTTAACTAAACACAATGAAAAGAAAATAAGATATTTTCAAATTCTATGTTCTAAAGTGTACTCTTTTATTTCTAATTTAGGATAATTAGCTTCAATGTAAATGTAACTTTTAACAATCTAAAGAAAATTCCCCTTTTACCCTAGTTTTTTTATGTTAAAACTAATTAGAACTCTTGTTTTTTAATTAATTAACTGAAGAGTATGTTAAGAATAAATTCAATATGATTACTGTACTCAGTACGTTTTAATATAGCAACAAGTACGTATTGGATAACTTCAGTGTTATAGTTTAGTATTCCTTATACTCATTCTTAATATTTTTTCACAGTATTATTTGTAACTGTCATTAGTTGTAACAAAAAATTACACGGAACTGGTAAGTGTTCAAAATCTAAGATGATTTCTTAGAGAGAAAATTTCTCTTGTATTAAATTGTTGATTAATTTATTGTAGCTGATATATTTCCGCTTGATTTAATTACTTACAATATTCATGTTTGTTTATTTAGAAAAATAAAGTACAAAACAATTCAGATGTATATGACGATCCAACAGGATGGTGTCTATTGAACAACAATGACAACAATCAAAACAACAGTAAAAATAATCTCGTCTATACAAAAAAACCTACACATTTTAATGCACTTGTGGAAAATCATCTTTCTATGGATCGTAATCTATGTTCATTATATGAAAACTTAGATCCTTACATAAAATATTCTAGTTCTATTGGTTTAACAGACAGTGGAAACTTCTCTAATCAGTCAAGTGATGTTTCTTTCAGCATACATTCAATGAATGATGGAATAGTTGATCCGAGAACTAATCCGGAAAATTCTTATGAAGATTATGAAGTAGGTTAAATCAACACTTGCATTTGTAAATAAAAGTAGTTAGTATTTTAATCTCTGAGTCATGAAATGTTTACCTATATCAAGTAATTTTAATCCAGATTTCTTTTTAAATCGTCCCTTAAACAAAGATTATGGCTATTTGGTAGATCTGGTATGTGACTGAAAGCCAAGGAAGCCCATTTTGTTCCATTAGAGACTCATCGCTGGAAGTCCTTGCATTTATGTTGATATTGACAGCGACACTCGAACTTAGGAACGTGTTATCCACTGAGCCGTTGAGTCCAGATAACCATTGATTTGTTCAATGAATAAGAGATAAATAATAAAGGTTTATAATTTTCGTTGTTGATGTTTAGAATTGCAGTTGATCATTCTCTGTTGGCATAGGTAAATTTTTGGTGAATTACATCAATATAGTATTATGTCATAAATTTAAGTTCCTTTAACAGATGGATACTAACGGAATCCAGTATATAAGTTACATCCAATTGTAAATGAGTCAGTTATATTTGTATTTTCATAATTAATATGTTATAGGAAAAATTAGTTTCCAGTTATCAAAAGACGTAAGATTTACAAGAAAACGAAAATTCACTGCCTCTATCTTGTTTGTCAAGTGTACCTTACACATTGATTAATTTCATATCCTTTTCACATTTGTTCTTTTTTAAATGAAAAGCTTTGTCTCATGAAATGTCTAATGGCGTTAGTCTAAACTTCGTACTTACCTTTTTTGGATTTATGGAATCAAATTTGAATTTTTGAAAAATTCTGAAAATAAATTTTACAGCTCTAATCATGAACTGGTCTTCGTTAGATCGCCATAGAGAACCTGAAATCCCTGAACGGCCGCTGAATGCTAGCTCAGTGGTTTAGAGGTACAACACCCACGATCGAGATCGAAGGTCCCACGTTCAGTTCTCACTCATTGAGTGGTAGGTGCATACTTTTAAGGAGTCCCGAAAAACAACAAAGCTACCATCTACTTCCTAAAGGTGTTAGGTAATGCTCTAGCTAACATCGCTTCGTTATTTAAGACCGCGAAAATTTAACAGTCTTCAGCCAGTCAGTCAAATACAACGTAGAGCTTCGTACGTACGTACATCAGTTCAGGTTGCCATACCATATTAGCAGAAACTCAATCGTCAATTCAAATCCCATAGTGGTATATAAAGTAGAAATATTAGCGGCAACGGAGAAGATTAGGTTTCGAAGATATTATTCAAAAGGTATAATTCAGTGAGATAAATTTAAGAAGGAAGAGGTAATGAGGAGTAGGGAGGATTGGAATTTGAGAGAACAAAAAGAGTGAATGCACCTGCGCCACTACAAACGGTTTTGAGTCATGTCACTCAAGGTAGTACACACATACCGACATGATTCACTCCAGTTATCAGTGACTTCATTCGTTTGTGCAATGTTTTGGTTAGGCCACCCCTAGCTTTCTCCCAACCTACTCCAACATCACAAAACATCTCAACGAGGATGTCGTTGGTTGGACATTCATAACACATGTCCCAACCACCTCAACTGATGAAGTTTCACCACTTCATCTATTGATCTGCCATCCTTACCTAGTACCCTTTTCATAACGACAGCTTTGCTTACTCAGTTGTCTCAGGATTCACGAGTATGTTTAGAAGAAACCTTATTCAAATCCAGTAGCCTACAAATATCTACTCTAACCGGCCATGTTTCGCAGCCATAAAGTAGGACGGAGCAAACTGCTGCATAGTAGACTCGCCCTTTGGTTAGTAGACGGTTACCTCGGTCTACGCTATAAGTGACACAAGTTGATAAAATCCAATCGCACCTTCTGTATCCGTTCTGAGATTTCTTCAGTCACCAGGCCATCAGCGTGATGAGGCTCCCCAGATAAGTGAAGTGGTCAACACACTCAACCACTTCACTCCCCGACAGTCTTCAAAAATCCCTTATACCGATAAAAATCTCTTTACAATGTCTCACTTTTGATATCTGGTTAAAAAACTAGTTAAAAGTGTTTCCTAAAGCTTTTCCATATTATCATCACATAATATGTTGCTTACAGTATTACTTATGATTTATATAAATCAGAGATCAAGTGAAATGTATATATCTATATATTCCATTGTTTTGGGAGTCATTAAATATTACCATAAGACCAGAATTGGAAAATCTCAAGTTATCCGACTGAATATTAATGATTTCTTATACTTTGACTGTTTGATAATTTTATGTGAAATATCTCTTACGAACCTTAGATTGTTTGCTCAAACTGATTATTTAATATATGTTCAAAGGTTCTTAACCTCTTTAAAATAAACGCATTTGCCCCCATCTCAGAAGCGAACTATTATATTAGAACATTACAACTATACAATTTGTAGTTGAAATGTTTGTGATATATATGGTGTTATTTGAAACAATCTATTCCTGAAAGTCATTCAGTATTATATGTGGCTATCATGTATGAAATTTTCAGTTTGAATATGTTTCGTTGACAAACATTCACAGCTTAAAAATCATTAATGTGATAGTGGTAATCATGCATTTCAGTTACCAAATTTACATTTGTGTTCTAGGTTTGGATAAAAGCTAGGCATAGTCATCCACGTAGCACTATGGAAGTAGGTAAATCTACTTTTAAATCATAAGACAATGGTCTTAAAAAAACTGAACCGTACAGTTATAACGAAGCTTATGTTAGGTAATTCCAGTCTACACTATTCAATCATCCAATATTCAATACTTCTGATTCCTTAGTGATTAAAGATCCGTTTATTTTTAAATCACCGCGTTGAATTGACTTGTGTCTCATGAATTTGAACTTTTCAATTAATTCTAATTTTAATATAGTGCAAATTCATTATTAAATTGATACTGAGACAAAAAAAATTAATAATTGTCACTTTCAATCAAATGATTTGTTTAACAAATTACTGCCATTACATCCATCTAACATGTTAAATTGGTGGTAATCTAAGTTAATTTGAATAATTTAAAACAACCGCAATCATTTAAAATGTAAGATAATAAAATTGAGTAATTAAAAAACATTTGTTTTACTTTATTTCATACTTCTACTACTTTTTTATTCAGATAAATTCGATTATGCTTAAATTTTTCAGCAACAGTCCCGTCTCATTAATCATTAAAAATGTATGGAATTCATTCACTTTAAATAAAATGAAATAAATACTTTCAGTTTCTCATAAATAATTTATCCTTTAAGATGTGAATATTGATAATTCTGTGAAAAAAACATTATTTTATTACTTCATTAGTTAATGTGTTCATCAAAACAAAATTAGTAAACTGCTGTTTGAGAAGAAAGTTTTATCACTTATTTTTCGATTGAATTTATTATATAGATATCTAGAATTATTTTTATTCTTTATTCTTTAAATGTAAATGCTGTGTCATAAATATTTACTGAAAACAAAAACTCGGATCAACTGGAATGTCGTGAATGCGTGAAATAAAAAGAGGCTAAAAGAATCACTTTTGAAATCCTGTTTAAATAAGTTCGGTCATTATCGAACAATTTTCTTCACTGCTCTAAATTGTTCTTTTTTAAGTGATGACAATCTAAACAATAGCGAAATTAACGTCGGAAGAGAGTTATTGTGTTAAACACTCTTATTGAGATTTGAAATATCAAAAGTTGTCAGGAAAAATGCTTATCGTAACACATAGAGAGAACGAAATAATTTCAAAAGCACCAAATGACTCGCGACTATTATACGCAATACAGTTTGTGAATAACAATCTATCTATTTATTTATCAAGATGTATTTTGTCTTGCATTTCAAAACATAAATAAACTTATGTTAAATCATTCGCTGTCTGTTTACTTAAAGTCTCCAAGTTTCCAATTTATTAGAATGTCTTGAGTAATCATAATCCAGATGGTCGATTACATAAATGTAGATTGGAATTATTGATCAACTTTAACTATAGACTACTGGTGAATTTTTATTTTGTAAAATAATAAAAATTTATTACACCTTATTTGGTGAACGTACTGATTTGTTAACTTTGGAAAATGATTAATCTGTTAAGTATGTGGAAAAATTCATCATTTCGTACATAATACTATAAGGTACATGCCATAACAGATAAAATTATTAACTATTATCGCGATTTTTTTATCTCTAATTGTTGATTTTCTTAGCCAAGATAATTGACTTCCTTACTGGTCTTCGTTTCATATCACTGTGCAGAGTGTGTGTTTCGACCTCTTCAACCATACTAAATGAATATAGTCGAATACACTGTTGTCACTGATGCCATAATACAACGCTTTTTCAATTTTCAACGTTAATCATCCACAAAACATTAGTAGTATAAATACTTGACTGCAAAATGCTTGAAACAAATTCTACCACGAGCCCACTAGTGTAGACACCACTCACGTAGTATTGGTGTATTAGAAATAATTCAATAACTGGCTCTAAGTGAGCACACTTTAAAGGATGAATGAAATTTGTGCCATAAATCAATAGGAAACTGCAGTACTTTTGGCTATCATGTAAATTAACACCTCAGATTATGAATTTAATAAAACAAACATTAATTGGAATAGGCTGTTCTTTTAAAATAAAAATTATCAACAATAAATAATTAAGGAAAAAAATGAGATAAGTTAGTTTTTAACTACTTGAGTTAATGTTAAAAAAATCACTCTCAGCTTGATATTTTGACTGAATCTATGAGATATTGATAACTTTATGATAAATTAAATTTCTTTCCTAATCATTGAATTCTACTGATGTCAAACTTTTGACTGACATAAAAACTTCAAACCAATATACAACTCCATGATAAATAATCCAACAGAATTAGCACTTATTTATCGATTCATGGTTTCAAAAATATGTAACTTAACAATCTTCACAACCCCGTAATGCAAATTATCTGTGCTCACTAGTGACTAGCTTCCTGAGGAATCTTCTCCGAGTTCTAGTGGGAAGACGTGACCAGTGAAGTTCAACCTGTTCGGGTGTAGACAGTAACTATCGAAGACTGTGTATGAGGTTGCGCAACTCCGTGAATTGATCAAGTTAGACATTAACACTGTTAGATACCGGCTCAGTGGTCCGATGGTTAGGCGTTCGCCTACAACACAGAAGGTCCTGGGTTCGAATCCTGCTGGGTGCAGGAGTCGTGGATGCGCGCTGCCGAGAAGTCCCATACCAGGACGAAACGGCCGTCCAGTGCTTCCAGGTCTCTAATGGTGGTCTAACATTGATCGATTCATGGCTCCGAAAATGTCTAACTTATTTAAAGAACAACTGTTTATCTTTTAATTGGTTACTTTTGTAAGTTCTTAAGTTATTCTGAACATTTTGAATAATGTTTAAAAATCCTAACAAAAACTAGTTCTTGTTTTGTCAACAAATCAGAAATTATTATTACTATTATTTTACTATTTTCAAAGAAAAACATCATTTTACTTTTGGATTGAATACAATCAGTTATTCATAGAAGTTTATTCAATAATTTTTTTAGTCATAAACTATGACATACAAAATTTAATTAGGTCAGATTTCAATATTTGATTCGTTCATCTTTAAGATAAATTGGCTTATAACAACATCATCTTCAAAATGACAATGATTTGTAATTGGTAAATGATTGAAGTTGCATGATTTGACTAAAATGGCATGATACAGAAAACATTATATTCATTCTAAATGAATATATATATATATATATATATATATATATATATATATATATATATATATGATTAACACTGTCAAACTAGTCAACTTTTATATATCTGTTAGATAAGTCAAAAGGTAAACAAGCAAACATACAATTTAATCCATTTATAATTAGGATTGTTCCACTCATGTTATCATCATATCGTCTGTTTGTTTATTTATCATTAAATGATGTTTGTTATAAGTAAACAATAGATTACAACCAGTATCATGAATATTTCATTTATGTATGATATTTAGGAAATGTCTTGTTTTCATTTAACATATTTTTCCTAATAAAATACATTAACTCAATAAAAAATATTCATCATAAAATTGATAGAAATTGAGTTTGATAATAGAATAGTTGTATGGTGTATATTTTTTTGTTTTCCATTAGAACTAAATTTAAAAAAAAACACTTTTGACAGACCACTGAGAAGATGTAATTGATGTGAAAAATGTGATGTATTTGTGCTATACATTTCGAACAATCCGGTTCATACATATCTACTTGTCAAGGCATTTTATATGAAGATTTATAAAAGGTCAATTAAATAAAAGTTCAAATAGACAAAAGGTGATAGTTGTAAATTAGGATAGACTCTGTTTCAACGCAGATAAATTCAAGGATAATTTCAAGGAAAAATTCAAGGTTATAACCAATTGTTTCTTTACACATAGAGGAGAATTTTAATTAACGAATAGCCAGGGCTTCCATAAACTTAATTTATACTTTACTTAGTTTATAACTTTGTAATTTATAAATCCGGTTGACTAATACCAACTTCTAAAAATTTATAATTACTTTCTCATGAAACTGATTACAAATCCATACTAAAAGTATCAGTGTCGTAAACATCGATCAGATAACTTCATTTTGCAGTAAATTGCTTCAATCGAACATAGAACAAATTGAATTAGATCTATTCGAATAGTTCATTTGCTGAAAATTACTAATGTTCACATCATTATCTAACATAATTCGATGAAGTTTTTGAAATATTAACAAACGAATTCACTTTAAAGTTACATTTTTTTTCATTATATTAGTGAATGTTATCCATAACTATATATCACGCATATAACTAATTATACTTATTTTAAACATTCATCATTCTGAATCAATTTTTACTTCGGCATATTCAGTTATTACTCAAATATAAGTTGATAAAAAAATTCAATTTGTCTGGACGTAAAACTGTTTATGCATAATTTATTAATTTATTACATATCTCAATGCTGTTCAGTACGTTTATGTGTAGTTTCTCTTTTCTAAATCAATATAAATATATATTTACTTCCTATTTCTGTATTTCCCATTTTTAGGATTTACCACCCAGTATACCGGAAGAATTCCGTGATACAAATAATTCAGGTGAACATAGACCAATTAGTACCAATTCTTATGAACATGAAGTAACACAAAGTAATGTTCATCATAATACTGATTCCATTAGACAATCAAATAAAGAATTAATGTTTTCATCAAAAGCACAAGATAAATCTAATGCTAAAATAAATTCAATTTCAAATTTAAATTTGTCTAAAGAAGATAGTTCAGTAAATAATTTACATTTTAAAGAATTTCAAAGAGATATTCTTCATTCATGCACAAACATTGTCGATAAAAAACATTCTACATCATCAGTTGAATTAACTCCGACTAGCTTTAGATCAGTGAAAGAATTTACAGGATATTGGTTACCGATTCAAGGACGTATACATGATAAATGTTTAAATTTAATGAAAGCATTGAATCAACACGATATAATGAATTCAAAGTTTTCAATAGCTCCATTATTTGCACAGTTAAACAGTGAATTTATAATTATAAGTCAATTATGTACAGTTATGATAGGTCTTTCTAAACAAACATCATTAGACAATGGTTTGACGCGTAAATTTATCATATATCGTCAAAATATGGAAAATTTGGCTGAAATATTTATCAGACTATCCAAAGGTTCCACCAATGTTAAATATTTGAATACCCAATATCAAAAATTTGATAGGCAGTCAACTGATGCGATTCATTCAAATATTAGTAATAATAATAATGGCGTTGAAGAAAATCAAACACTATTTGAACAAACTATTCAAGAATTACTCACGGAAGTAAATTTATTTTACACAACAATTTTAGCGAATTCTAAAATATTGTTTAATAATTTGATGAATAGATCCCCTAAATCAAATCAAAAAAGTTCTTCGTTAACAACAGAAAAAATAAATGTGTTCAATGAGCTAAGTACTTCTATTCCTTCATTGCCTACACATTCCTATGATTATTCATTACGATTTCCAAACGATAAACAAAGGTTTTTATCCAAATCTCATGAATTCATCAACACTCTACCTTATTCTTGTCAAAAAACAGTATTCATAAATTTGAATTTTCAAAAACTATTACAACTTTGTTTAAGCTCATTAAATATTATTGATAATTATTTAAATTATTTAACACAATTTCAAAATAATACCATAAAAATTTGTACACCATGCTTTAAAGATTCAAAAAAGAATAATCTCTCTATACAATCTATTATAGAACAAACTAAACTAGTAATGGAATCATGTAGTCAGTTAATACGTTTTACAAAGTTCATTTTCAATGAATTGAAACGGTCATCATCATTTACATTATCATCTGTCTATGATTTTGATGAAAATGATCATGTAAATGCAGTAGCACATACTGGTTTATCGAGAAAACTAGAGTATTTAACTGATAAACTTTGTGAATCCCTAAAAGCTTTAATTACACTAACTAAAGAAACTGCAAAATTCCTAACAAACGAATTTGAAACTATTCCATCTAATAAAATTGTTCCAATACCAGGTCCATTATTGCAGCGTTTAAGCGGAGCTTTAAAATCAGTTCAAAATTCAATCGAAGCGATTGGTAAATTGATTAAAAATGAATTGTTAAGGGATAGTTATCAGCATTTATCTACTGCACAAATAAAAAGAAACTAAGTTTTTTAATTTATCTTTGAATTGGTCTAGTTTTTTTCTCCGAAATCATTTATCCTGCACTTATAAAGAATTTTTTTATCGTTTCTGTGTGATAAGTAAATGATATGTATGAATTACACATGTATACATAAATATATGAACACATTCATATCATAAACAGCATATCATTATTTAAAGAATTTAATAAGTAGTTATTCGCACAATTTATCTTTGTGTGTGTACAATTCAACTGGTTTTTCTTTCTCTTGAACTGTAATTAGAAAAACAAGTGGCCATGCATTTTTATTTGTTCTTTACACTTATTCATTATTTTTTTTTTTTAAAAAAAAGGCAATCATTGATGAATATAAATGAGTTTTCATTTTATTGTCAATCGATTTTATTTTTAACGGTAAGGACAATTTTCTATACTAACTTACAAACTTCATGCTGAATGTCAATAGTGTTGTTTTGCAGTCTGATTGGTCTATATATTTTATCCTTATTAATTTGACTAATTAAACATGAAGATTTAGAGAAGTGTTCAATTTTTTACTTACTGTAACGTTTTAGAATGAATTCGTCTTTAAACGTTAACTGAAGAGCAAACTTAAAAGTAATTAAATATTACACGTAAACCATCAATGTAGTGTAGTTCCTCCACAATCTGAGTTCAAATATCATGGCTTCAGTAACGTATAAGACATTCATGATAAAAAACCAACTTTTTATTAAAGTATTATGATCTATAAACTCAGCGGAGATAGAAGAACTACGGCAACAAAGATGACATTATATAATAGTCATAGCATGATTTGAGTTGAAAAGTTGAATGATCTAATCATGACTTGGGTGTCGTGTTCTCCATTAGATTTATAGTTGATTAATTCAATATTATATGGTCTTGACAGTAAACTCGTCAAGTACCCCATATCTTATATTCAGTGTCCCCTGGCCTTTGAAACGGCCCTCTAACTGAATTCGTTTCGTTATGTAGGTCTTTTCAAATTTCACCCAACCTTCAATAAACAAAGTTAAAAAATGATTTCTTATTGCATTATTTCCTTTAATTTACCTTTATTCTTTTACAACTATTAGTGTTATCCGTAAAGTGATAATAAAATCCTAGATTGTTATTAACACTTTCAAAGTCTCTATTTTCTCACATTTAATTAATATGAAGATTGTTAATAATTTGAATGGACCGATTTAGATTCTCCCGAAAATCTGCTTAAAATATATTGAGCAGAACAACAGGCTTTGTTAGTTGAAAGATTTTGTTCGTGGACGAACCGTGAGTTTATCGGTAACCTGTAAAAAATTCCATCCTGATTATTCATTAGAGTTTTTTGGTGAATGTAATGAATCGTGCCGACTCGTACTTTAAGTGTCTGTTAGTTTAGTCTTTGTGAGAACATTGATAGTATTATGTCCTAGAGCATAAGTTACATTCCTAAACGAAATCTCGAATTTACTCAACAGTTTCACAAGCACTCAGAATTGTCCCGTGGCACTTCATCTCCAGTTACTCGTCTAATAATTGACTTCTGGGTATCCATAGAATAGTTTTTATTGTAAACTATTAAAACCATGGCAAATTCCAAACATACAGATGTAGTTACAGTGTTTAGCGAGTTTACATCACAAGTAAGTTGGTGGGTTTGAATTGTAGCTCAACTTGATAAACTGATAGTAATGGTTGTCTTCTACACTAATCCCGTGTTACGCAAATATACTTGGTAAGAGTGAATTCGAAACCTCTTATATCAACCAGGAAACGGTATTCGATACATGTCTGACCAAACGTTTGCAACGCATTACTAAAAGGAATACAAATAAGTCCCAGAGAAAATTTTCGTATCTAATTCAGAAGTGAACAAATCGAATCTATACGCGACTTATTTACTGAAGGATAATAATAGCAGTTTTTACTGTTATATTTTGTATTGACTCAAAAACAAATACAAAAAATGACAGCTTGTGGCGCCCTGAGTTGAATACTAAGTTAGTAGTCGATACTCATACTAATTATCCCAATGAGTTGAAGGAAAGTTAATAAACACACTGACTTAAGTTCATAATCATTAGATATTTAGCACCATTAGAGAGAGTAATTACTGAGAAAACCATAGTGAAGCTTATAAATTTTCTCTCAAAGTTTCTTAAGTTGTGGCACTGAACTGTATGCTATATATATGAGGGAATACTAACTAGTTTATGAAAATCATATAACCATCTCAACTACTGGTTTTATTGCTTCATGAAAAACGTGTAAATTTGTTTAATAATAGTCATAAAAATATGTAAGCTTAACTAGTATAGTCTCTAATAACTTAACGGCATGTAATGACCAGACAATTTGTTAGATCTAAGGAATAACTCGTCTGACATATCTATTTTTTGTCTTCATAAAATACTTTTAAAGTAGATCATACCAACAGTTCAAATTATTGATTTAATCTGACAGCACAGTTCATAGTACATAAAATGAGAAGAAAATGAATTCATTTTTAATGAGACCGATTCAAGTTAATTAATTATATTTTCGTCGTTGCTATTTTATCATCGTGAGAGCAATGAAATTTATCCACTTACTGTATGTTACAGGATAGTATTTTAATTATGATCTTAGATAATCATTTTTTTTAAATATTACATTAATCAATAGTCTGTAGACTAGCGGAGTGAATTTAATTGAATTTTATGTACACTTAAGTCAAGCAACTACTTCAGAGAGTTTTTTAAGAAGATTGTTTAAAATAATAGAAAAACTGATTTAGAGTATTTACCTATAAAGTGAAAGAACACTATTTATCATCTTAGATCATGTAAAACATTGAAGAAAATTAAGCGCATTATTAATAACTATAAGATAAGAGTTTATTTCGGGAATAGTGATACCATAAACTCGGCTTTAGAATTGAACATAAGTTCCCGAAGAAAAAGCCATAGGATATGCAATCAACCATCATGAATGAGCTGCAGAATATGTGACAGAAACAAACAGGCAAATCAACGTACGGTGTACAGAGCATTAACAATATTTGAAATATGTTCCTAAATCCTGGATTGTCCTCAAGGAACTTGAGAATAGATCTGTAATGATACTTCCTAAAATTAGAAACAGTAAACAGTAACAACGTTGATCGTACCAATATACTTGAAAAAGGGTTTGGCACACATTAAGGAAGATTTATTTTATTCTTATAAATAATTCAATGAATAGAACAGTAGTCATTAGAGGGTTTACTTAGCGATCAATCAGGCATACTGAATTTTTTTCTGAATTAGTAGTTAGGACTGAATTTTTCTCTAAAAACTTAAACCAATAAAAAACACTCTTCTATAAACCCTAATACGCTGCCTGTTTTTTTAGATATTCATCAGCTAATTTAGAATCGTGTTCATGGAAAAACCTGAGTCCCAAGATAAAAGCTAAGAATTAAGCTTTACAATTTCTATAATATTATGAACGATACGAGCACCTGTTTAGTATAATATTTAATAACTGAAAAGCAGTCCAAGAGAATCCTACTTAACTTTGTAATTTTTCCACCAAAAATGCTTGATTACAGTCATTACTTTATATCGCTTTGCTATATCTAAACACGGTATTCTGTATACTTTACATTGTGTTAAATTTTCCAAAAATTATCTTTCATCACAGGTTTATTTGCTTGTTTTCACCTTATATTTATTATGACCTTAGAATAAGTATAATGGCATACATATTAATAAGGTGTGATCACAAGATAGGTGATAACTTTAAATTAAAGCAGTGATAATTTTCAGTAATAATAAAAGCCTTGTGGATTATTTAATAACAAGTGTCTATAAAGAACAATTATCATTGGTTTTACAGCAGTTTACTGTAACAATGATCTCCTCAAATGGAGTAAAAGAGCATTTGTCGAAAGGATGAGTGAAAAAAGGCGCCTATCAATAGGGACAAACATTGTAAGAGGGAAGAAAATTTTTTTAGAATTTAAAATTTAGTTTGTTCGTAGTGTGTCCCTTTTGGCTCGAATATCAATCAAAAATGTTGTTCTTTAAACATTCAACGAAGAGTTTACTTTCAACAAATATTTCAAATGACTCTGAAAGCTCTAGTCATTGCTATACTTGCGATATTTGAGACACAACTTGGTATCAGCAAACGGAACATATAACCAACGACTCAATAACAAGAAGATATGTTAAGCTATTTCTCTGCGCTTCAGTCCAAAGTCACCAAAAGAATATATAATCCACAAGCATCGCAGAAAATGAAAATAATTTTCATTTGGCGATAAGAACCTACTTAGATTAAAAAATTAAGTTAGTGATCACTAACAGTTTTCCTTATCAAACTCAATAATCAGTCAAATATAGGTATGAATCAAAAGCTTTTCCAGATTGACTATGAATACTTATTAAATTATTTAATATCATGCTTCTTTTATTAATACTAGCATCTAATCACTTCCTAAATACTAACGATAATATGAATATAATGTCAGACATACTACAATATAATCCAGATGATCGATTTGTAATGTGCACATAAGGTTTGGTGACACGTTATTAAGAAATGGAATTTTCTCTTATTACCTAATTGACTAAACGCTGATCACCTCTTCTGCCAATTCATAGTATCTTTTTAGACTATGATGATTAATTTAGAATATTCCGAAGATATAATGTGGTATTATCTTGGTCCCTTGAATTTTCAGTACTGTAAAATACTTAAGTCGACTATTGGTCGCAATACCCAGTGTAAAATATCGTAACTGTCAGCCCATGCCTCTGAGATTTTGCTTGCATTTTTGAACTACTTATTAGTAGCATACATATTTTAACAAAATTGTTAAGCATCGTAAATTGAGTCCGAGATAGTTATGACGGCTGCTTCTTCCTAAATAATGTGCGTGCTACAAATTTTTAACTTCACTCAGTTAGCAATTTTTTTCGCCACAATTTTTTACGTATGGTGCAGAACTAACATCCAATATGGATGAACTGTACTAGTCACGGTTTGTCTCTAGAATTCCTAAAGGTGAGTCATCGAGATCATGTAATTTCAGTGATATCCATAAACCGACTAACTCATTCTTACTCATGCCTGTAACCTTTAATGAATCACAGGCCTCCGACATGTAATCTTCAGCCAAATCCGTCTTCTGTTGTTCTTTCCAGTTCTACCCTACTGCTGATAATTCTTTTCATGTGGCCGCCAATTTTCATCACAATGTGTTTTTACGTCTGTCTCCTTTCCTTTGGCCTTGGAGATCCCAAACTAGGACTAGCCTTATGATGCAGTGGTGTGAATTCCATAATGCGTCCTATACGCCTCTTGCTCTTTGCTCAAACTTCCTCCTCTAATGGAATCTAGTTTGTTCTCTCCCACAGTAAGTTGTTGCTGATGGTATTTGGTCAATGAGTTCGCAGTATCTTATATAGGCAACTGTTTATAAACACTTGAATCTCGTGGACGATGGATTTCGTAGTTTTACAAGTTATCGCCCTATACAATAGAACTGTCTCGACATTTATATTGAAAATTCTGACTTCAGTGTTTGTTGACACTTATTTTGAGTTCCAGTTGTTGTTCAATCGTATAAATGCTTCCCTTGCTCTACCAGTCCGCGCCATCACATCTGCATCAAGTCCACCTTGTTAAGTAATGATTGTACCCAGAAATATAAAGGTTTTTACGTCTTCTAAAACTCCACCGATTTGGTTAGTGCATGTTTTGTTGTATTGGAGAATCTTGCTTTTACATTATGTACGTTGAGACCTGCTGCTTCTGAGGCTGCTGCTACACTGATATTCTTCTCTTGCATTTGTTGGTACGTGTGCCATAGAAGGACCGAATCGTCTGCGAAGTCCAGGTCGTCCAGCTACGTCTTAGTTGCTGATTGTATCCCGTGCTTCTCCTCTGATGCTGACGTCTTCATAAACCAATCAATCACTAGGAGAAAGAGATAGATGAGAGTAAGCAACCTTGCCTGACACCGGTCTTCACCTCGAATGAATCTGTCAGCTGTCCTCCGTGCACGATTTTACAGTTTAATCCATCATAAGAATTCCGTATGATGTTGACTATCTTATCAGGCACGTCATAGTGTTGAAGAGGCCTTAATAGTGTTGTCCTGTGAAGGCTATTAATTACTTTCTCGTAGTCAGTGAAGTTGATGCAGAGTGGTGAGTTCCATTCAGTTGATTGTTCCGCAACGATCAGTAATGTTACAATTTGGTAAATGTACGGTCGATCCTTACGAAATGCAGCCTGTTGATATCGAAATTGAGTGTCTACGAACTGGATGCTTTTAAACTAATAAATCATACTAAATGATAATCTTTTAAACCTTTTTAGGAATTAATCCTGACAAGCTATTGTTCATGGAGGACATATCAAAACATATAAATAGAATATTATTTCCTAACCATGCTTCGTTTGGAGCGTTTACGAATTATACATGCCTAAATACTTTTAACGAGTAAAATATTTATCATGTGTTAAATTTACCCCCGAATTGTTTTTTATATGTTGGCTTAATAATGAACAAAGGTATGTACAGACACAAGTTACTGGAATCCACTTCACCATAAGAGGAGATTAATAAGATAACAAGCGAAAGACATGAAGTAATTCCAGCGATAACAAAAGACCAAGTTTAAGAGTTGTAGTAGAAAAATCACCTCTAAAATAAAGAGATAATAATTATGAAACAATATATAACTAAAGGTATAACTAAAACAGAATGATGTCCAAGTGGTTTCAAGTCAGGCTGGCCTAAACGTTTAACTATTGACAACGATTATTCCTCTGAATCTATTGAGTGAGTTTCATTTTCGCAAAACGACTTAGGTCAACATTAAATAGCTTCATAACTTTATGTCATATGTTGATTTATTGTGTAAAGTAAATCTTCATTGTTCTTGTTTAGTCTGATACAATTTAGGAAAACCGAATCATAAGTGCAGTGGTTTTTTGACTATAAACCAATATTTTACATCAACTCTTACCACCAGTTTCTCTTTAGTGATTTGAGTTGATTCGTCTAAATTTCATGTATTTGTATCAAAACGAAAATTTCTCAAAACAGGGATAGATGCATAAACATTATATGTTGACAGTTGAAATAAGGACAATAACTTACTTAGCTCTAACTTATTAGTTAACTATTACTAACTTTGGTTTAATCTCGAGACCTAATATTATTTTGAGCATTCGTCTTTTGTAAATCCAAATTCGCATGATCCAGATGTCCATCGTTGTTTCGTTGGTTAAAGACATTATAAAATAGTAGGTTTTAGTTACTTTGTTACCCTTTCCTCGGAAAAAATTATTGTATCATATTTCGAATGGATACTGTAAATGTATTTATACTGAATTGTAGTTAGTTTAGTTCATCTTTCTACGTTAATCATAAACTTTGATACCAAATTTAATCTTTTTAACCATATTCAGTTTGAGTAAGAGAGCTGAAATTTCTCTATGTAGATCATTCATGGAGATAGAAGTTATATACATTTGATGGCATAATCAACACGATAGACATTTAAATCACATCATTTAGACTAATATTATCAACATACTAATTGTCATTCTTTTTAATTCACTTGAACTTAATACCATACTCCTTGTTATTTATGTAAACATTAGTTGTATTCAGGATTTTTTCGAAATATCAAACAACGCATTTCAGCTTGTCTCTCATTCACAAAGGCTTCTTTGCATGTTTATAATATTTTGCTGCTAGAACTTTAAACCAGAAAAACCCATTTGATGGTTTTAAAAACCACGATTTTTAGTATTGGTACTACATTATCTCTGTAGTTACTACTTATATACCAACGAGTAGGCAAAATATTAAGTTGAAATAGATTGTAAACGTGTTGACTGTTCTAGCTACTTGAAACATGTTTCGGTTAACACTCCAAATTATTTACTCTGAAATAAATTTCAATCCTTAGTTTCCATCGTGTACACAACTATCTAACCTTTCCAAACTTTTAAAATTTTAATGAACGACTATGTTTTATATATTCTCTTTACTCTAGTACATAGTCTATATTAAAGTATCTAGAATAAATGTTTCTTGAGCAATAGATCCAAGGCTTTTTCATTTAGATGTTTATAAATTACACCATTGTTATAGCATCCTTAGGTAACACAGTAACGCCGCTATATCCGTGTGACATGGTCAAAGTGAGAGAATTTTAACTCCATTGGACTTCAGTATACTACAAAATCACTTTATAAGACGATAAATATTTATTGACCTGAGTAATTCATAGCTGAAACGGAACCGCCTAAAGCACTTCATTGTTTTTCGAAGGATATTTAAATTCTGTATTTTATATATGTGAAACAAATTCCGATTCTATATGAGTTAAGATAACTACACTTCCTAGTTGCTTGTTGAAAAGAACGGTATTGTTCAAGATGTAACGGTGCTTTTGAAGAACTGATGGTTACTAATGTATGTTCACTTTGAGTACATAATTTCGAAGCATCATGTAAAGACTGATTAATGTTAACCTAGTGGGTATCATAAAAGTTATCTGGTAAGTTTTATTACACTCAAGGTTATTTTTTTAAATTCTGACCTAACGACGATTAGTAAACTGATCTTATACGATCAAACGATTCCTCACTCAGTGATTCATTCAACCCAGTCTAACTTTATGAATAAGAATTGAGATAACGAAATTCAACAAAAAGTAGCATTTGCCAATAAGATTAATCGAAATTTTAGTGATCTTTCCATCCAGTTGATTAGGAGCAGCTATGAGTAGTCAACTACATAGTGTCTATTCAAGAGAAAACTTAGTGAATTTAATTTGTATAGGGTGATCTATTCTTTCATTAATAACCTTCTATTAAATTAGTCTGTAATAAAAAACTTTCATCGTTTAGTAAACAATTAAACCTATTAGTTGGAAACAATTGACACTATTTTATGAATGACTAATTCAAAAATAAATTAGTTTGGTTATTTCATAATATAACATGTTTTAGATCATTATCAATTCTATTTATTCTATCATTTTAAAGAATCATTCTCTATAGGATATCGAATTTTGACTGGAGGACATTCATGAAGCATTCCTTGATGAACAATAGAAACCACTGAAACGATGAACCGATCTAAGTTCAACCATCATTCGAAATCAATCAAAATGATGTAAACAAATATATATTATTCCATTGATAATTTCAATAAATAAGCATAACTAATTCTCCTGTTTGTGTTTTACAGTGTAGTATTGAAATATCACTTAAGAGAAAGCATGTTACATATCATTCCTCTAACCTCCTGTATATTGTTGTTTATTCAAATTTCAAACTAATATTTCATTAGGAAATATGTTTATACATATATATATAAACATTATCTTTTCCCATAAGATGTCATAGTTTAACAAAGAAATTTATTGATTCAAACAAATATTTGTTCAAATGTTATTTATATATTATGTATATGTATATTTTTATTTATTTGTCTGACAAAATCAATAGAAAATGAATTGAAAATGTTAGTGTTGTTGCATTTGATTTCAAATGACCAAACTAGACTGTGTATGAATAAGCGACAACAATGACACAACAGTAACAACCATAACAAAAACAATAAAATAACAAAAAAAGAGAAGAAAACACTAAGTGTCATCTCAACATGATTTATTTTTTCGCCGTGCTTCTTTCTTTTTTTATATTTTTTGGCATAATGTTTTTGTGAATTGGAACTTAGAAACACTAGAAAATATTCTAAATGATAAATATGAACAACAACTTTTTAACGTTTCTTTATTTTTATTATCCGAACAAATTTTTTTTTCCCAATTTTGAAATATTTATTATATATATATTTTGAATAATTTTTTAAGTAGGAAGAATTAATTCTTTGATCATATACGAACATCTTACACGTTCATATTGGGGTAATAAGAAAAGATTTTCTTTATTCATAAATGATTTCAACGCTGTTGTCTTGATTAGTTTATAGCCTAATTGAGAACAGACTTCCTAAAATTTAATTATATACAATGAACAATGAAAATAATTATAAATAAAAGTGATTGAACATTGAAAAAAAATATAATTGAAAAAGTTAACACAAACAAATCATAAGTTTGGTTCATTTAATTTGGTGTTAAAGATAACTTTACCACTTATATTCATTAGTAACTGACTTAAACATGAGAGAAAGTTAGTTCTAAAAGATAATAAAAAGTTCTACAAGGTTTTCATCAATGACTGACAACTTGTAATTTTTAACTTTTGATATTGTTTGTTGAGATTATTATCAGTCATTTATATCGGTGTATGAATAATTTGGTTCGAAGCTTAATTGTTGAATGAAAGAATTTAGTCTACTTTAGATTCTATTCGATTTGTCTCAGAAGTTTGGTATTATTTGTTTACTTGCTGGTACACAGTATCCAGTTGCAGTGGGATTTCGTTCTCTGAAGTAGATTTTTTTACTGTAATGCTCTCTACACTATCTCCACTATCAAAACATCCGGCTCAGAGAACAAAACTTCAAAATAACCATCCACTTGAACTAAAACTTTTCTCCACAATTTCAGTAGCCGATCGCCTTGTCCTTGAAGGTAATTGATTGGTAAACATGCACAAACCACTGAATGTATATTTATGTATTAACTACAAAATATTCAATGACTGGACTGTGTTCATATATGAAGTCCCCATCAGCTGCTCATTGTTCCGACTAAAGGTCCATTAACACTTTCTCTTATTCAATCATTCTACCATGTCACTCATCTTGATTTTTACTAATAATTTTAATTTCAATGAACTCAGTTTGACTGAACGCATTTTGAGCATTCATTTTTAATGATCATCAACTTATCTATTCATTGACGTAGTTGTACAATCACTTATTTGAAGCCCAGTGAGATTTTATGACTCTTCTCATCCATATTCCACGATTTTTTTTCTTGAATATTATACATAATTACAATATTTCAATAAAACATGGAAACAACTATAGTGGACAATAAAATTTAGATCTAAGCTAAAATATCAATTTGTTTTATGTTGTTGCGATTAAGCTATATCTAATATCGTTGTATGAGTTGCTATGTTAAGCTACATACTTCTAAAATTCGTCTCAGATGAATTTCATATTTGTTGGTTGTTCTTACAAACAAACTTATACATTAGGTCCTCATTCATTTGGAGAATAAATTAGAAAGTATACATAAATAATATATTATTCATTTATCAATAGTGTTTGTGCTTCTTTTTTCAGGCAATGACTAGATATTTCTTAATTGAAACAAGTGGATTGTGTAAATTTCAAATTTTATCACACTAAGAATGTTTTTTTGGCTATATTTTCATGGATTGATCAAAAATAGTGTCCGTAAACTCACTTCTGTCACTTCGTTTGTATTGAAGGTTATAACACCCACATAACCCTGTTTTGCAGCAATTCTCAAGAGATCTCTCTCTAACCTGGCCAATAATTTTAGAGATATTTTCTTCCAATTAGATAGAACACATTGTAGATACTTTGATTTACTGTATGGAGATTGAGATGTAATGGCGACCATTTGAGTAGCAAGTAAATTGTCCATCGAAATATCCTGAAATTGGTCGTCATTACAACACTCATCAAAAAATCGTTGAACCAATGCAAGTTTCGGTGTTTGATCAAGAGAAGGAACATGCTTAGCTGGAAGACTGATTAAGACACCAACCAATTTATTTTTTACAAATGTATGTTCATATGGGTTCTCATAATAGTACCTGGCTGTTAATACAATCCCTGGATTAGATTTATGAGCATTCAGGAATACTTCAATTGCTTCTATTATGTCTGTTCGATCCAATTTTAGTGCATGAGATAGTCGATCTTTTTCAATAAATGCATTGACTAAAACATCAATAATTTCATGTCTTTCGGTTGCACTAAAGTTTCCATCATTCCACTGTTCGATAAAAATCTCATAACTACCCTGAGGATAAATTGTCTGCAAGAAGTATATAAAGATGCGAAACGATAATTACAAGTATTTATTGTAAAAATTTTATATTTAATAAAGTTTGTTATGAACAGAAAAATCTGATGAATTGCTTGGTAGTTTACGTTTTAAATCGTTATTCATTAATGGTGTTTTTTTAAATAGTTTTTTCAAATCAATAAACTCTGTTTATAAACTTCGATCCTCGGTCATTACAAAAATGCATCTGATTTATCAGCTAATCGAAGTTCTGTATCAAATTGTAAGCATGTTTAAACAAAACCAAATTCCGGAAATCCACTAATTAGATTTATGGTCATTTGAGCAAATAGATAGCACTACATCTCTGGCTAATTTTAGCTAGGCGACCATTGATAAGTAGAAAGCACTGGAGACATATTTCATCCTATCATGGGATTCCACTTGCCCAAAGATCGAGATTATAAATTGGCGTGGGTTGCATTACCAGTGAAATCTGAAACGACTAAACGACCGTTTCATCGTAGTATGAGTCTCCTCAGAATACACATCAAATGTGCCACAGGTGGGAATCTAACCCCGAACTTTCACTCTTTAGAGACCGCCCAAATTCTAAACCACTGAGCTCACACCCAACAGCCTTCAATGCTTCCAGTTTTGAAACGATTACTCCGAAATTTTAATGAAATTCAACTATCTTTACAACACCAGTCGTTAAAGAATACAGCTTAATGAAGCACATTGTTACGTAAAACGCCATTCAGAAGTGTTAGTTTCACTTTATAAGGAAGTAAAACCGCTTATATAAACGGAAGGAGATTAGTCAATTAACTATGCAATGAGTAAGATTTTGATTTCCAAGCAGCAAGGTTAATATAATTGCAAAAAGTCGATACAACCACTTACAGGTGATAAATAGCATTCATCTTCCATCAATGGGATTCGATGAATCAAATTACATGTATGCGATTTTTTCAAAACTTTATTCAATGGAATCTCGTTCACTGTCCATAAATCTGAGGTAAACAGCTCCTGAGTTTTTAGAAAATCTGATTCGGTATTTTGAAGATTTGTTAGTATTGATCCAATCTTTCCTGTTTTAGTGAATACATCAAGATTTACACTAAATCCTAGTTGTCTTAACTGTTCTGTGGCTAGTACAGTCTGAAAAGGAATCAAATAACAAAAAAATACCAGTTATTTTAAACAGAGATTCTTTAACTTTATTTTCATCAATATTGTGTGAAGTCAAATGACGTAGATAATAATACTCTGAATACATTAAAAAATGATGAAGAATACTTGTAGCTCAAGATAATGATGTTGAATTAGCCGTGACCTTTTAGCCAGATGGAATAGTTGATGAGATTTAATTACTCTGAGTAGCACCACAAACGCGTGCTCCAAAGAGATGTGAGATATTAGTATCTCTCCATGAAAGACTAACCACTTGTTCGGTTGACTTGAAATTTGACTAATGATTATCCACAGCTGTGTGGACGATGCTTATAAACTTCCTTTGGTTAATTTCTCTCTTGACCTGAACTCTAACCTCGTGGTTTTCAATAGTTTTTGATTGGTTGGTAGATTTGACCGATTTTGATGAGTTTATAGCCTCTGTCAGGGAAGTTCTACTCACTTCCTTCTCATGACAAGGGTGTTACCTATAAAATTACGAGGACAGGAAACTAACATCTGGGTTGGTGGATCAGGAGGATCCACCTACCTTGCCCCGTTGCCCTATGTATTAAACCCGTTGGTCAATGGCCTGAGAAAAGGGTTTAGCAGAAAGCCACCAATATTCCAGCTGCATTTTGTCATAGCCAGAAGCTACTTTAGTTCATCAAATCCGCTGACCGCAAGAAGCATGATACAGATTAAAAAATGTCTGAATACAGAGACCCACTTTACAACGTCTTGGATGCTGAGTAGAATTACCTGCTACCCCATTAACATCTATCAAACCCTTCTGCCCTCTGTAGGTACTGACAACTTATCCCCTAAGAAGGGAAGGAAGCATTTGAGGAACCATAAATTTTGAAGCAATGCAAGTCAACGGGCTTCTGGGTTTTCTAAAGGATGATGGTAAACGTCTGAAAGGGATATTCAACTTCATTGTTTATCTTAGCGAAGATCATCTGGTAAATTCTGAATTACTAATATAAATGAAGCAAAGTATAAGCTTTCTACCTTATCTATAAACAAAGTCGTTCTAATTTAATGTAACAAATTCACATAGAGGAACCAACGAATTGCATAGTTTTTCTAATGACAGTTTACTAACACGTAACTTTTTTCTTACCAGTAAGGAATCACCTCCAAGTAAATAAAAATCTTCGTCATCTTTTGGTCTACCAGGTATGACATCACCATTTGGACCACGAATTCCCAGTACTTCGGCTAGAACTTTTCTTGCACGTTCTCGACCTTTGATTAGCTTAAAATCTTTTAGGATTTTACCAAATGATTGATCAGCTACACTAATATTATTTGTTGAATCATTTATCCAACCAGATTGTAGAACTTTTGTTATTTCAGAAATTTCCCAATGATGTTTCGAATAATAGTATTGACGTAGATATTCCTTATCAACTTTTCCGCTTGTTCGCATCAACGGAATATGATCAACCTGATAAAAGTTTGAAGTAGAAAAAACAAACAAACTAGTTCATGACTCATTCTATCAGGCAAGGTTAATTAGGTTTCAAAAAAAGAAAATTTTTTTTAAAAATTTCTAGGTGAAAAAGAAAAGAAACTAGTTAAGAGTAATTAAACAACCGAAAGTACGTTCACAACACCATGAACTAGTGTGGTATTAATAATTTTGATAATCTTTTGATATTTTATGTGAACTGAAAACTATCACATAAAATCTGTTCATAATTAGTTAGTGTAAAATTATAATTATTTTCTTTCTTTTTTTCTTAATATGAACAAACAAAAAAGTGAGATTATTTCTGATTTATTTATTTATTCCTATGAACTAATATGATCATGTGATCAGTATCAGCCTAATCATTTCTAGGGTCAATTAAAGAATAATAACTCATTTCAATAAAAATCAAAATGAATACTTCTTTTTTTCTTCTACAGTTACACGAACTAATAAAGCGTAGATTTTTTAAAATCAAAGAATTATTATGATAAAACAATCAAGATATTTTCACCTCGTGTAACTTTTTCCAATTCTTTAATGAATCATCTATTCACATCACACACAAAAGAATGCATCAAAAATTTCTACGCGTTTATTTTCTTTTTAATGTTATTAAATACATTTATATATATATATATATATATATATATATATATATATATATATGCAGAAAAATCTTATATTATTGTATTATTTGAATAGTGCGCCATTAGTTGAAGTTGAATGATGAATAGCTAGACATATAATTAATTAAATTGTACAATAGTCAATTGAAATTATACCATTCTAGATTTTCCTAATAGAAGAATGACAATTATTTGTAACTAACAAATCATGATTAATGATATCTAATTTAGTTTGAAACTATACAATGAAAGTGATAGTTGTTATTAAAAATGCTTGCACAAAAGTATGTGTTTAGAGACAGGTAAATAAGAATAATAAATGTTCAATCGTCTATGGTAAAATTTCAATAGGAAAGTAACTTCTTTTATTATGAAATACATGATACTTAAACTATGCAAGAATAAAAAAACACTCATGTCTCAATAAACATTTTATAAACATGAAGCTGATATTATATATATATATGCATATGTTTATTATATCGTACATTGTACATATTGTACATTGAAATACGAAATATTTGACTTACATTTATGAAGGTAGGAGAAAGGTATGGAGGTAAATAATGACTAAATACAGAGATAAAATCATCATGTTTAGGTAGATCTTCTAATTTATCATAATTCTCTTTGGGTTCTATATTCATTGAATTTCGATTCTCATTCATATGAAGTACATAAAAGCATACTAGTTTTAAATCACGTCCATGTACAGTTTGTATGGTTAGTGTAATTGTTTCTGAAACTTTATTCACAAGTAATTCTTCTCTAGTACAATTAATCATATTTTTAGCATTCCACTTTTTCTTTAACTCAATAAATAGGTTATCTATATCACTTGCATGAAATCTGATTCCATTAACTTTGATTAGTTCATTAGTTCGACCACATATATATAAATGATTGGTTTGAGGATCTATAAATCCTAAATCTCCTGGCATAAAAACACTGATTTCCTTTGACATATCATTTTCACACGACCTATCTGACTTGTATTTATTCGTTTGCAAACAATCTAAATCTTCTGACAAAGCCTCAATTCGTTGACAACTACTTGCACTGTCGGAAACTTGTTGTCCAAGTATGCATACATGACCAATATGTCCTTTAGGCAAAAGTTTAAATGGAAACTTATCCCAGTTAGGTTTTCGGTCGACTGATCCAATTATAGATAATGATGGATTAGACCATTTGTCTAACTGATTTTCGTCGTCTATTTCATGGTGACGATGATTGTCATCATCATCATTCTGAACTATGAAAATAGCTGTTCCTTGAATGACGGAACCAACTGATAATACTGGTTTTCCAGTTTCATTATTTTCCCTTTCTAGGCCATATGGTACGACTTTTGTATGCTTCTTCACATCTAATTCACTACGAAATACTAATCCAGTTATGTCACCAGCCACCTCAGTTGTACCGTATAGATTTATTAGTCGTATTTCTGGATTTTTGAATAACTGGAAAAATTCACAAGCCATTTTAGGATGAACCATGTCGCCACTAACAATCACAGTCCGTAAACTGGACAAATTACTTGTTACAATTTCCTTTGGTTTCAAACGTAGCTGCTTCAACCACAGATTCATTTGAGCAGGAACTGTAGTAATATGACTAATTTTAAAGTGTTTGGTGAGGTTCATCAGTTGCTGAACATCAGTTACTGACTTTTCGCTTGGACAGACTGGTCCACCAGGAATAACTACAGGTATTCCAGCTAAAAGGCAGCTGAATAACTCAGTAAATGCATCAACAAAACCCCAAGCAGTTTTAGCTAGACCGATCCGTCTGACTGATAAGCTAGAGTTACATGTGGTATTTTCGAAGTTCGGCAAGTCCATATCTGAAGCTGAGTCCCACTGCCACTCTAAGCGATTGAACATTTGAGTAGTTCTAAGTTTGACAGGTTTTGGACCAGAGTTTGTGCTAAAAATTAAAGAAGATTTAATTGATCTTAATCATAGTGATAATGTGGTTATTGGTTATTGGTTAAACGGTCAGCCTATGTTCTAATTTACTGAGAATACAAATTTTGCAAATCTAAAGTATTAGTAATGAAGATTTTCAAACACCAGTTTGATATGATTCAATTTTTGTCGAGTTTCAAACGTAATTTTTAGAAAATTTCTTTGGAGAAATATTATGATCAGTCCATATTCTAACTTTAACATTTAATTTTTAAATAAATAGGATGTATATAAAATTTCAAATGGACTTATTTTGGATTTCTAAATCTTGTTCCAGATAAATTTTTTACACCAAACAGATAAAGGTGAAATTTTGAATGATTTTACGTACTGGTAAAATCCCTTCAGTTAATTTAAACAATCCGTAAAAGAGGTCTCATAATTTTAAAAAAAAATAGTACAGTCGTTGGAAAACTAATCTAAACAACTAGACCAACGTAAACATTAGTCAAAATCGTTATTTATAAAGTCATCTATACTTCAAAATGGACCAGATATTTGAGAAGAACGTTGGATAAAAGAGGACAGAGTTGTCTGTCAGGCCAACTGAAATGACATCCTAATTAGTATCAATTTTACTTAGAGATGCTTCACCCAGTTCATTTTGAGTCTGGTAAAATGCATCGACGAATAGTCGTAAATAACAAGGAAAACAGCTATGCAGTTACTTCTAATTTTCGGTAGTTCTACCATTGTTATCGACCTATTAAAGTAACTGTTTTTAGATTTTTTTTAAGACTTCTGTAATATGGGGGTTGTTGAGTTTCACTAAAACTATAAATCAATCTTTGTTAGAATGTGCTCATGATTGACTAGCTTTGTGAGGAAGTTCTCGGAATTCTAGTGAGAAGCTGTGCTCAACGGAGTTCAACCCTGTCGAGTGTAGGCAGTAACAGCTGAGGTTCGGCAGTACCTTAGACTGATTAAAGCTAGACATTACTATCGTATATTTTCATTATTGCTAAGAAAATATCTTCAATTCAGCTTGAATCAATGATGCAACTATTTTTCCATCGTATAACTTATTGTTGTTTTTTTCACATCGTAATTGACTTGTTTTATTTTTTTAAATTTTGCAAGAAGTGATTTAACTTTAATACCAGTTAAATATTTTTAAAAAATAGAAATTAAAAAAAATAGAACATAATATTTTTAATTGAAATTGATCATTACCTCCCTGAAGTGAATAGTACCAAGACAACTGGATCGGATTCAAATGGAAATAGACAAACTCTACTTGGAATGGATGCAGTATAGATATCTGATCTGGAGTAATACTTTGATAATTTCATTAATTTAATGTATTCATATACTTTTATATCAAATAACTGAAATGTAATTTTCAATTCATTTAAATTACCAATGATGAAATCATTCGATGAAAATTTCCTAGATGATAATGATGATGTGGAGGATGAGTTATGATGGTCTATGGAAGATGATGATGTTTTATCATGATGCTTTTCTTCAATTTCATCATCATACATTGAATCATAATAATCTTTAGCAATTAATATTAAAATAGGTTTTAATTTAGTCAGAATTTGTGTAATACGTCCAGCTGGAACATTACGATCCAATGGCATATATGCTAAATGCAATTTCATACATGCAATCTATGAAGAGAAAAAATAGAGGATCAATGACAAAAAATAACATCAAATAAATTATTTTCTAACATTACATAATACAAGTTAATAATTAACGAATTGATTTAAAGTGAAACTGCCAAGAAGCATTGAATAGCTATTCGGTCTTCGTAATTGTGAACGTAAACAAAATTTTACCGAATAGACTAAACGATTTGACGAGTAAGTGTAAACATCTCCTTGATGCAAGTGGAATAGACCGATACAAGTTCGAACCCGTAAGAAAAACATCATTCTGTCAACTGATGAGAACAAAGTAGCGCTTATGAAAGTATTCATAGTTGAAAAAATAAATACCTACATATGAGACTCTTAATTAATGAGCATTTATGACTCATTTTAAAAAACAATGTGAAAATTTCTTGTTACTACGTTAAACTGTCTAACTCTGCAGAAAATGTTGGTCATTTTATACTCAATGTAATGTAAGTCTTTACCATTTCAGTTTGTCATAATTATTAACTTGGCCCAGAAATGTTATCTACCTGTTTAAGTGTTTTGCTAGACAGTTTTTGTAAGGCAAATACATTTTGTGTACTTAAAAGTGAAGTTTTGCTTCATATTGTACTTTAAGTTTTTGTTGATCAATTGTACTCCTGCTAATAGTTGCTTACAAAAATTAAAGAAAAACAATTACTATTCCAGACGAGACAAACACTTTGAATAGTAGTTGTTCATGACTGGTTTTATTATTTACCAGTTTTAAAGAAAGCAATATTGACGTAAGGAAAAATATTAGTCATTAATGGTAAATATACATTTGTAAACAATACGAACATTTTTGTCTGAAGATTCATAAACTGATTAAAAAATTAGATCTGCTGACGAATAAACAAGTCTAGGGATTAAAATATTTCTATTAGTTGAATAGTATTGACAGTAATATCGCATCTGAGGTCATGAGTGTACATGATTGAGTATCCTTAAGGTGTTTTCCGTTTTTGATTTCTTCTTTCCTCCTCGATTCGAGTCTGTAGTTTACACATTACCTTCAAATATTATAATATGATGTTATCTTTGAATATTTTGATTAACTAGCAATATCTGATTTCAAAATGTATCAATTTTATTGTAGTGAAATTTCAAACTAGGGTAGTGAGTAAAATATCTAGATTGCCTAACCGATCAAAGGCGTGAATAAAATAGTTTTAGAATGGTGCACTGATTATATTTTACGGCAAAAATAAAATCTAAGTTAGCATCCTTACTAGGAAATGATGCTAAATCACATAACCTACGATCTTTACTTATTAGGAGACATTCGTAGATGATCTACCATCTTTTCTTTGTTCTACTAAGGTTTTTGTTTTTATAATGAGTTGCACTACGGCTAGGAAGATATTCATTTAGTATAATAATTAGTATGTCTATGAAAATATAAAATTTACTTTCAACATACGAAATTACAACAGTTTCCATTCAGTTAACTAATATGCTAGCTGTTAGTTCAATGGGATGGGAAGCTAAAAGTCAATAATTTCTTCATTTCCTATCTCTAATAGTGATGTCACTTTATTCTGTTGAAGAATAATTCCTACTAATATCGAACGTTTGACGTTTTATTTAAGGTATACATTTTTGCAGTTTGTTTAGGACTGAATAAATCTGGGCATTTGTCTTTAAGGTTAATTGATTTGTGATCTCTGAAGCTCCACTTTCCAATGAAATAGTATTATGAACCAATCCTGAATAAATATGACAGCTTTAAAACATGTACTATTAGATAATAAAGTTTTTTGACCTAACATTTAGAAAATTTGTCTTTATAAGCATTGTCGCATAATAAGACTTTAAGAGATCTCTAAATTATTCTGTTCAATAAAGATTACTTACTTATGAGGTGGGTAAACGTAAAAACTTTTTTGATAAAGTGACTTTTGTAATGAACATCTTGAGTTTTTTTCAATTATATGTACAACTATCTTTGGTTATTGAAAAATATTGAAAAGTATTACTGAGAAGTCAGTGAAATCCCAAAGCAATAACAAAAAAATACCCCTGGAATTCGTTGTTAAATTGCACACTTTAAATAAATTATACTTTTTCCAATATAATAGAGATCATTTCATTTTCAGATGTTATTAAAATTCGCCTGTAATGTACTTTGTCAGAAAATGACATTTAACTAAACTGATGAATTGAAAAGATTGTTTTCTAATCCATTAAAAGATATCTCTGAATAAATTTCAATGATGAGTACTATTTCCTCAATTTTTTTTAAATTTAATAGATCAAAACATTTTGGAAACCAAACTGCTGAAGCTCTCAATAGTTAATGACGTATATTCAATACATATATGCTCAACACAGGTATGATTATGTGAACGTTTCTATAGAAACGTTCATTCATCCATAATCAATTGTATATTAGCTTTAAAGAAGCATTTTTACTTAGAATAATGAATCATGTATATTACTTTATCAATAGAAACCAACAAACAATGTAAATACAAGGAATGTTTTTGTAGATCTCAACGAATTACGTCAACCCCCAAAAATCATGCTTTTCTACCTTAATAACAACCTTCAGCAAATCATGTCTGGTCATTAATTCAGAGGTCGAATTTCTGGTCGTAACCACTCATAAAAGATAGAAATTACCTAGGGTAACATATGGCTTGTGACATTTGTCACGATAATGATATGTATCGATTGACAATGGATAACATTGACGTTTTTAATGTGTATTATTCAAATTCACATTTGCTTCCAGTAAATAATTTAACCAGACACAAGTTAAATGACTTAAATTTATATTATTAAATGAAATAATGTTAATTAAATGTTATGTTAGTTGCTCACATACTTGAGCCACAATACGATCTATCCCTGGAGGCATAAATAATGCAATTAATGTATCCGATTGATTTCTATGGTCAATTGGTTGATCTATTGATGAACTGTGTTGATTTAATTGAGTTCTATTGATTTTATTAGTAATACTTGACCATTTACGTTCTAAATAATTAGCTAAATTCATTGCTATACGATTTGCTGCATTATTTAACTCTAAAAATGTCATTGTGTAGACTTCATTAGGTTCTTGATTTGATGAAGATATGTTTGAATTGATCTCTTCGTTGGACCAGTGGTTTTGTTGTTCTTGATCGGTTGGTAACTTCTTATTAAACTTATTATCAGAGTTATTTTCGTAATTATTAGTTGTGGCATCAGAATTCGTAGTCAGTAAGTCGTTTTTAGTATCGAATGCATTTTCGTGATATTGACATATGAAATTTACAGGATTTGGAACATGCCATATTGCTGTAGAAGTGCAAATTGATGATTGAGTTAAATTTTCTAACAATGTATGAAGAAGTGGACTTTTTAAATGAGCAGTTGACTGGGGCATTTATACATAAACGTCTACAAAAAAAATTAATGAATACAAAAGCAATAAACATACAAACTCGTCGAATAAAATGATCAGGTTAAAACGTTACCACGTTAGCTACAATCGAGTAAATTTATATCAAACTCAATGCAACACTTTTTTCTAACCCATATACTCAGTTCATTTGATCGGAGCTATCTTACGAACCAGTGTAAACTGAATATAGGCCGAATTAACTGGCTTATGCCATTTCATCCTTTCTGTAATTATGAGCTTCATTTCAAACATTATAACTAACATTCGATCCTTTCAGTATGAGGAAGTCAAAATGGTCGAAATTTTCATCCAACTAAACATAGGTCATTGGACATTTTGCGCACCTTTGAGTGATGAATCACTATTCCTCCCGCAACTAGGCTCTGATCTAACTGTTATCTAACAGTCATTCTTATAAATTTGTTTACTTCAAGTAATCTTTTGCACCTAAATGGATCAAGTTGTAACCAAAAAGTGAATACATTGGTTAAACTGGAACTCAGTGATTATTGGTTATTTTATGACTTTCAAAATCAACCTTGAATAATCGTTTGCTATTTGATGAGTTATACCACCTTGATTGAATAGTTTATTTGTAAATAAAACTTTCTACGTTTTGATATATATATATATATATATATATATATATATATATATATATATATATATATTCATTTAATTCGCTGATGGTTTCTCCTTCTAAAGTCTGTGCGTTTAGTATTAAAGTATCGATTTGAACAGGAAGCATTTAGGAAGCCTCAGTCATTTCGGGTTATTCACAGTCTGGTGTAGCCTTTGAATTAAGTTACATTGAATTAGTAATATATTAAAATAATAAATACAGACTATTGTCACTATCCACAGCTAAAATATTTCTAAAAGCCATTAATTATTATAAAAAAGCTAAACGGAAACATTATGGAACTATTTTGTCAAAAGAATCTTATCACATATATTTAACAAAGTGCCATTATTTATTTGAATCCTGATATTATAGTACATTTGATAAACGTGAATGCAATATTTATTATCCATTAACTTGAATATAATCAATTGTTATAAGTTTTTTCAACATTCCCTGAGACTTTAAATCGATTTACACCTCAACTAATTCGACAAAAATAACAAATATTAATTTTCTGGTATCCATAATTGTACATTTATTCATACCACTTTTACAGATTTTATAATTAACAGCTTTTACTAATGTTACAAATGAAGAGTAAAAGGCATCGTGCTGCTTTTGCGTCCTGGCATAGGGCTCCTTGGCATCTACAATCCAATAGGAGTTCTAACTGGGATTAATCTATGGTGTAAACTCTGTTGTATATGTACATTGCAGGTAAGAATATATAAGTGCCTGGGTAACTGTTTAATAAAATCGAAAGATACAAATTGATCCTAATGCCGATAAATGCATATTAGTTTATAAATAAAAACGTGAACTTTTCACCCTTCAAAAAAATCAATATTGAGAAATAATATATATAAATATACAAATGACAAATATCAGCTAATAAATACTTCCTCGTGGTAAAATTCAGACAACTATATTCATTTGATTTATGGATAAGGAAGCCGTTTGAACTTATTTAAAATTTACCAATTACTTTGATCTGACTAGACATCATGAACAAAGGGACCTGTTTTTCACATATGTATTCAACAGTTGTATTAAAGTTTATCATAATAACTCACTTCTAATTGTAAATGAAACTTTTAATATCGAATATTAAAATGTCAAAATTAATTATTTTGATCAAAATTAATAGGTACTAGGCAACGTTTTTCGCATTGCTGATTAAATTAAAATATTCTGAGAAATGAAGTAAAAATTATCACAGCATGCATTGTTCTAAACATTTAAAATCTTATCGTATTTATACAAGGTTAATCGTTCCCAAGCGTAAACGAACTCGGTCTCCAGTGAGGTTGTGGATACCCACTTCTGTAGAACCCTGTATTAAGACAGTACATAAATACATATATTTATATATATATATATATTTTTATGTATCATATATATATTTATCGACCGCTTTACAATAAGACTATCATAAATTCAATTTTCATCATAAAACAACATCGAGTTTTCGTTGAAAACTATTTTTAAACCAAGTATAAAGAAAAGATTTAAAAATATTCTAATTTACAGCATTCTGTTTCTCATTTTTTCATCTGAAATTGATTCTTACTAGAACAACGTCTTTGTTTCGGTGACTTTTGTAAAATGGGAATTTTATGATCAAGTTGCTTAAGGCTTTCCTGAACTGGTCATTTGTGATCAAGACTTCTTATCAGGTGTAGATTTGAAGATGTTTATTTATGCATGATTTATTCAATGAAACCACTCAGTGTAATGACTGAACTTTTCATTTTTTTATGAAAGCATTCCAATAAACAGAACGAAAATTAATTTCCGGAAATAATAAATTTGCTATCTACCACTGAATTTCATTTAGGTGGATAAAACTAGGACTTATTCTAACTTGATTATTATTGCTGCGAATAAAACACTAAAACGCCAACCATTTAAGGATTTAGATAAATATCCCACTAAAAATCATAAAATCAACAATAAAACATTTGTTTAACAATAAATTTCTCTTAGAAAGTACCCGAGTTTTATTTAAAATAGCCTTCTTTCAGTGAACCAGAAGTCTAGTTGGAAGTAGGGAATACCACCATTTAAACAATTATTTCATATCTGTATCAAATTTTGGGCAGGTGTTTGCACAACATGAACGAGGCGTGAGCCCATAACCAAAATTTTGGCGATACTTAACACATTCACCAATACTGACAATGAAAAATCTAACAGCTGATATTTTCACTTCAAAACATTTGAAAATACTTTTTAAACGAAACTTGGTTACATAAGGACAATCAATTAGCTTGTCTGAATAGAATCATGTTATATGTTTACATCAAAGTCAATATTACTAAGATAGGAGTATTCAGACATATCTGATTGGTTCCCTTCACTGCCAAAAAAGGAATAGATGATGTTATGAACTAGGTTTCTGTTTTACATCAGTAACTAACTTCATAACTATCTCTATTTAAATATTCGTTTATGATATTACATTCCATCAAAGATAATTCAGTATGCATACCAATTAATTTTCACAAGGTTATGTAAACTGCTTTGTAGTAACCCAACCTACATTTTTATATGATCTCTTTCGGTTTATTACCATTTAGGGTTTCGCGTACATTACTGAATGTTATGGCTAACCTCTCGGACTGATCGTAGTTAAACAACCACTCAAACCAGTAAGCTCTGGACAGGTGTTTCGTCCTGGTACGGAACTTTCCATCACTGTAGATCCACTTTATATGGATCCGCTTAATAATAATAATATCATATGCTCATCATTGGCTAATTTCAAGGACCGCATCTACCAGCGAATATTGATCTTTTCAGTTTCATATATCGTTAACGAAAAAATATTATTATAGACTTCCCAAAACTTATCTAAAGTAACTAAAGTTGAAAAAGCTCTCCACAATTACAAGTCGCCAAACGAATCTAAATTGTAACTTACTAAGTACTATGACTAGAAACCTTTGAGCTGAATGGTTGTCACGTCATTCAATGCTTGTCTGAAATCAATTTTACACAAAGTCTGAAGATTTTCTTTTTCTTAAATCACTATTAAGCTTATAGAAATTAAAATCGTTTTTTCGAGCAACACAGTTAAACTTCCCTCCGTAATGGCAAATTCAAATTTGTTGTCATTTTGTATACAACTCCCTTATAGGTTTATTATGCTTTATTCTTTGACGAATCCTAAACTAATTTCCGAAAAGTTTGATGATGACCTAGTATCGCTAATCATTTAATTTGGTGACAAGTACGTTGTAGTCCTTGAAGTATCTATTAAACGAAAAGTCAGTACATTACTATTCAAAATTCAACTGCATACTTATTCGCCTACCTGTGATTAACTATTAGAAAACAACATTTTTATTATTTAACAGTTGTTGATAGTATTAAATGAAATAGCAGATGCTTAAATATAGTTACTTGAATAATTTATAAAAATAAGTCAGTCATCGTTCCGATATTTTTGGCAGGTATTTCATTTCCAGTTTGTTCTAAATACAGTATTCTCTTATATTCGTTAGTTATCTAAATCAAACTACTCGTTCAGCATGTGCATTTGATTCGGTACTATGAATTAGGCAACAAGTACCTGTTATAAAATGAAAATCAAACATTTAAATGCTGTCGTTAAATAGTTTTAATTAACTTGCAATAAACATTTGAAATCGATTATTATTTTTTCCTTGATAAATTTTCATTTCTTGTTTGAACGAAAAATTCTAAAAATATTTTATTAAACTGTAGTGAATTAGAAAATATTCAGTATGTTTTCTTAGCTTGAGATTTCCATACAATATAATTTATTGATATAAATATTTAGATCTCCATGATTAAGAGAATGCATTCAGACCTCAAAAAAATTCAAGAAAGATTTTGACATTTCGGTTAAATGAATAATCATCATCAGACCCGAGACTAAGAAGCTGTTTTAACTCACTCAATTGGATTTATCATACAAAACACCTGATAAAATGATAAATAATATAAGACTCCTCAGCAGTGCGCATCCACGACTCCTGCACCCCGCAGGGTTTGAACCAAGGACCCATGGTTTCAAAAAAACTTAACAATCTTCACAACCCCGTAATACAAATTACCTGTGCTCACTAGTGACTAGCTTCGTGAGGAATCTTCTCCGAGTTCTAGTGGGAAGACATGACCAGTGAAGTTCAACCTGTTCGAGTGTAGGCAGTGTCTACCGAAGACTGTGTATGAGGTTGCGCAACTCCGTTAATTGATCAAGTTAGACATTAACACCTTTAGATACCGGCTCAGTGGTCCGATGGTTAGGCATTCGCCTACAATACCGAAGGTCCTGGGTTCAAATCCTGCGGGGTGCAGGAGTCGTGGATGCGCACTGCTGAATAATCCC